TAAGTTAATAAGCTATATTAATAACTAGTAATCTTTTTTTAAGTAATATAAAGCTTTATATAGCGTTATATACTATAGTTAATGTTTTTAAGTCCTAAGAGCCTTAGCTACTTAAATATAACGTATATGCATAGTGAGTCGCCTATCAGAGTGAGTCGCCTACGTTCTTATCGTATATAAAAACCCTATTTTACAACTATTTATTAAAAATCCATTTTAAGCTAAAAATAGAATAGGATTTCTGTTTTAGTATTCGATAAGCGTTAAATTATAGAAAATAATACTTTAAGAATTTTACTTTTAACCTTATGCCTAGATCTCTTATCATAAGAGCTAGATAAGCTAGTTTATGTAAGCTACTATTATAAGTAGAGTAAGAATTTCTAAAATATTATTCCTTATAATCTAACTCTTATCGAATACTAGAGCAGAAATCCTGTTGTATATTTAGGTTAAAATGGATTTTTAATAAATAGTTATAAAATAGGGTTTTTATCTACGATAAGAACGTGGGCGACTCACTCTGATGGGCGACTCACTATGCATGTACGTTAAGTTAAATAGTATTAATATTTTTAGCTTAAAATTTAAATAAAAAATAACTACTTTTAGGTTAAAAGAAATAAGGCTAGCTTATCTAAAACCAGCTTATATATTTTTTTTACTTATTAAAGTAAAAAAAGTTACTTTAAAGGTAAAAAAAAAGTTATTTTTAGTAATATATATAATCTATATTTATATTATTTTTTTTAATTTTTTTGTTATATAATACCTTTAGTAGACTAAAATAGCTAATATTAAGAGGCTAAAGCTTATATAATAAATAAAGAGGTATATAAAAAGTAATAATACTATATTTCTTATAGTAATTATTAAATTTAGTAAACTTATAGCTATTATAGCTATTAAGAATTAAAAGCTACTTAATACCTTTTATATAAGACTTTATATACTTTTTAAAATACTATAGCTAATTTAAGCTAATCTTATTTATAGTTTATCTATTTTTACTAAAATAAATATACTATTAAAATAAGAATTAGCTATTAATATACTATAAAAAGAAATAATATTTGTTTTTAATAATAATATATAAAAGTAATACCTAGTTATCTATATATATACCTTAAATAATAAAAACCTATTTATAATTACTAAGCTACTTTATATAAGGTCTTTTATAATAATTAGAAGTTATAATAACTTTTACATATAATAATATTCTTATTAAGAAGCTTATTTTATTAAAATTATAAATATTATTATTATAAATTTTATACTTTATAATTATATTTTATATAAAAATAAACTAGACTTATATAATTATAAGATCCTTAGCTAATACCCTCTAATAGTTAATTCTACATCAAAAATATGTCTTTAGTTATAATTAGTGTTATACAAAGTTCTCTGCCTATTAAGGTCTAATACATATTATATCACATTTATTAAAGAAATAATTAGCTATATCTTATATATTATTAAGTTATAATAAAAATCCTTAATAAATTAAGTTAATAACTTATTTAAAAATCACTATTTCTTTTAGCTTAATTATCTTTATTAATTTTAATTATATTTTTTGTTATAGTAGTTATTTAATATATTAGTCTTAAAGTATTATTCTTAAGATATTATAGATAATAGCTATTTTTTATATAAAAAGATTTAAGTCTTTATTAATAGCTTAAAGTATAAGTATAATATAGCTTTCTTTTAAAGAGAATTCTATAGTTGTATATAAAAAAAACTTAGTATAAAGAGGAAAGGTATAGAAGTAAAGAGAAGTAGCTAACTTACTATAATGGCTAACTCACTATATATATACATTATATAAACTTTAGCTTCTTAATATTTGTTATTTTAGTTTACTAAAAGTATTATATAATAAAGAAATTAAAAAAATAATATAAATAACTATAAATTATATATATTACTAAAAATAAACTTTTTTTTACTTTTAAAATAACTTTTTTTACTTTAATAAGTAAAAAAATATATAAATTAGTTTTAAATAAGCTAATATTATTCCTTTTAACTTAAAAGTTATTATTTTTTACTTAAATTTTAAGCTAAGAATATTAACACTATTTAACTTATACTTAAATAACTAAGACTCCTAGGACCTAAAGATATTAATTACAGTATATAACGTTATATAAAGCTTTATATTACTTATAAAAAAATTACTAGTTATTAATATAACTTATTAACTTAGTTATATAAAATAATAAACTTATAAGCTAAAAGTATTAATAAGTTAATATATAAATTAGCTTTTATTAAAGCTAAATATTATAAGCTTTATATAATAAATAAAATACTAAATAAACGTTAAAGGGCTAAAAAAACTTAATTATGTCTTAAAGGGTCTTTTAATATAACTAAAGTAAAAGTAATCTAGGTAAAGAAAAGGGTTATTAATACTAAAAGCAAAAATATATATTAAGAGGGGGCTTATATAGAGGGGAGTAAAATACGCAAATAATAATATAGTAATTACAGAAAAACTAGATATAATATATAAATATATTAGGTAGTTTAAGAGATTCTAAAGAAGAGGATAATAAGTAGTTCTAATTGATTTTATATAATACTACTAAATTAACTTATATAGACAGCTAGAGGGTAAGAGGAGATAGCCGACTTACTATGATAGCTAACTTACTATATATATACGTTAACTATAAATTAATTAACTTTAATAAATACTATAAAAATAAAATATAATTATTTAATATATACCTTTTTATTTATTTTATAAGCTGTAACCTTTTAATATTAAGTATTTTAGCTTATTAAATTACTTATATAATAGAATAATTAAAAGAATTAATATAAATATAAATTTTATATATTATTAAAAATAACTTTTTTTTACTTTTTAAGTAATATTTTTTACTTTAATAAACAAAAATAATATATAAGCTAATTTTAAATAAATAAGCCTTATACTTCTTAACCTTAAAATAGTTTTTTTTAGTTAAACTTTAAGCTAAAGATATTTATACCTTTAACCTTATAACTAAATAGCTAAGGCTCTTAAGATATAAAGACATTAACTATAGTACTAAAAGGTATACAAAGTACTTCTTTTTAAAATAAAAAAAGATCTTAGTATATTAAAATAATTCATTAATACTAATATATAAAATAATTAACTTTTAAGCTAAAAGTATTAGTAAATTAATTTATAGGCTTATTATTATTAAAGCTAAGAATTATAAACTTTATATAAAAATATAAGTATTAAGTAAACACTAAAAGATGAAAAAGACTTAACCTCTGCTGACCCTGTGAAACAAAGGACGTCGTTAACTATATCTTAAAAGGTTACTTAATACTATTAAAGTAAAAATACTATATAAAAAAAGTAATATTAATACTAAAAGAAAAAATAACCTTTAAAAAGAAAATTATATAGAAAATATTAAACTATATAGTTATATAATAATATAATAAATTATAAAAAGACTAGATATAATATATAAACTTATAAAATAGTTTAAAATAAAATAAAAAAAGGTAATAAGTAGTTTTAATTTATTTTATATACTATAGTTTAATTAACTTATATAAAAGGTAGTAAGGTAAAAAAGAGTATATAGCTTACTATATATATACGTTAGCTAAACAAATGTTATAACACTAGGAGTTTTTTAAATTAATTTATTATTTTTAAAGAAATAATTTAGTATTATTTATTATATTATATAATATAATAAATTAATAAATAAATAATGTTAATCTAGTTAAGGTTACTTAGGCTTATAACTTATAAGACTAATAGAAATAAGGTAATAAAAAGGTAAATAATAAGTTAAAAAGTAACTTTATTAATAGTTACTTAGATTACTATAATTAATAATATAGAAAATCTTACCCTTAACTAAGAAAAAGGGCTTTCTTATATAACTAAATTCCCTTAGACGTAAGAAATACTCTAATAAGGAATTTTCCTTTAGTTTAACTAGAAACTATCCTAAAACTAGTATTTAAGTAGTCTAGTTTTATTATAACCTTATTATATAAATAGTTATTATCTAGTTTTGTTTTAACCTTTACTTTTATAGATATCTTTAACCTGGTTTTATTTTTTAACCTTATTAATAAATACCTTCTGTTAGGTATTTTAAAGGGTTTTAGTCTCTCTTTTTTAACCTTTTAGGTACTACTTATTATAGTAATACTACTTATTAAGGTAATATTACCTATTTAAGTTAATTATATTATAATAATAAGTGTTTATTTTCTTTTATATCTTATATTATGTTTATAAAAAGATACTTTATAATTTTAAATACTACTTAAATTAACTAAAAAGATTATAAATTTAAATGAGTATACATTACTTAATATAATACCTTTTTATAAAGTTAAATACTAATTATTAGTTATTTACTACTTTTTATAAACTAACTAGCTTATTATTACTAAAAGGTTATATAAAGAATATTATAGATTATTATAGGTTTTATATAGTTACTTAACATAAGATTAAAAATAAATCATATAAAGTACTAGAACCAGATCATGTTTAGTTAAATATTATATTATATTAATAAGTTTTTAAAAAAAAGAAAGTAGCCTACTAGCTTACATAGCCCACTTACCTATAGATAACGTTATATTTATATAAAAATAGTTTACTTTACTAAAGGGTACATATAGTACCTTTTAACTTTTAAAAGAGGGTACCTTGTAGGTTACTATAATATCCTATTAATGGACGTATTAAACCAATTTGCGCCACATTTCGCCACGTTGCGCCCTATTGCACACTCAGGGACCCTCAAACCCGAACTCCCTGCCGTCATTGCTTTGACAAAAACCCCCTGCGCTGCTTGACAGCTACCGGCGATATACGACAAGCACCCACCCTAACATGAAAGAAGGCCTGGACCTGATTTTGCCAGTGCCCCCGTCGAACCTGGCACGACAATATGATGTGGCTTTGTTGTCGTGGCTACCCGTATAGATGCCTCCCGGTCCCTGTATTGATGGTTCTTTGCACGCAAGTATTGAGCCAAGCGTCAAGCGTGCTTGATGGCCCTGTTACCGGCACGCAGGCGGGCGTCTGCGAATTCAAGACTATCAACTATATTACCCACACACTCCCGCAACAGTGTCTGAAAACGAGCTGGCCGGGCGACAAGGTTACCACTGACGGTGCAATTCCGACCAGTGATGCAACCCGAGCCTTGATTGACGACTCAACAACCACTTCTGATGGCGATCATGCGACGCCTTCACCAAACTCCTCAACGACCGGGCGCCTCGAAGATGATGTTGTTGCGAACCCATCTCCCACAGATACTACGGCCGATGGCGAACCTACTCCGAGACCATTCATGTCATTTGAGGACTGGAAGGAGATGATGTTACGCAAGGCCGGACAAGACCCTTCAGATCTCAAGTCTCGAAAAACGCCAGATCGTAGCACGGAAGGTGATAGGACTACAAAGAGCTCAGGTTTGGACAGCCTCGGGGACGACGGCAAGATTGACCTCAATTTCGACGTTGTGTCAGAAAAGATAAGCAATATCGCATCAGCACCCCAAGCAACACCAACCGAAGTTGTAGCGTCCGAGCAACAGCTAGAACCAGTGTTGTACGACGACGGCCGCACTCAATACTACCGAAGCAAGGATGCAGGAAAGACTTGCAAAGAAAGATTCTCTTATTCATCTTTCGATGCCGGGGCAACAGTACTCAAAACCAACAAAGGCGCAAAAAATGCCAAGGCCATACTGGTCGAGAACAAGGACTCATATATGCTGCTGGAATGCTCAGCTGAGAACAAGTTCGTCATTGTTGAACTTAGCGACGATATTCTTGTTGACACGGTTGTACTGGCCAACTTCGAATTCTTCTCCAGCATGATACGGCACTTTCGGGTTAGCGTGAGCGACAGGTATCCTGTCAAAGTCGACAAATGGAAAGATCTTGGCATGTTTGAGGCTAAGAACTCTCGGGATATCCAGCCTTTTCTCGTCCAGAACCCTCTGATCTGGGCAAAGTATGTCAGGATTGAGTTTCTGACACACTACGGCAACGAATTCTACTGCCCCGTCTCCCTCCTCCGTGTCCATGGCACCCGAATGCTGGAATCATTGAAGGATCAAGAAACGGCCGCTGAGGATGAAGATGTGGTGGACGAGCCCCCAGCCGAGTTGCCCGGACCTCCAAATGAGAACGCGGTTAGCGACAGTGTTCAAGCGCAAGAAAATGTAACGGGGGCATATGTCGGGGGAGAGGGGCCACAAGATATGGGACCCGCCTTCTCGGCAGATCCGTTGATACCTATGCGCATATTCCGTCTTTTCGACGGTGAAAACGCAACTTGCTTGGTATCGGTTACTCCTACTCGCCCGTCGAGTACAAGCCCAGCAGGCGCTGGATCGCAGAGCAGAACGCATGGAGACTCAGACCCTGCCGCTCAGTTTAGGTCTGGCGTGGAAAGAGTTGCTGACCAGACTCCCGAGGAAAAACTGTTGTCTGTGTCAACGACAGATTCTCGCAACACCGAACGGAACTCGGTGCCATTGGCGGCGACGTCTGTTTCCTCAGCCGTACATCAAGGCAGTGTCAGTCCAGGCACAAAGGCTGGAGGAGCAGGTGAAAACACCATCAACGGCTCGTCTTCCACAAGAGCACCTTCGCAGGCCACTGCACAGAGTCGGAACAAGAATAACTCAACTGCGCCACCCACGTCTCCGACCGTTCAGGAAAGCTTCTTCAAAGCGGTCAGCAAGCGTCTTCAGTATCTTGAGTCCAACGTGTCACTGTCGCTCAAGTACATCGAGGAGCAGTCTCGGTCTTTGCAGGAGACTCAACTGCTAGCTGAGAGGAAACAGCTGTCCAGGATAGACATTTTCCTGGACAGCCTCAACCATACCGTTCTTTCGGAGCTACGGACTGTTCGCCAGCAGTACGATCAGATCTGGCAGTCCACCGTTATCGCGCTGGAGAGCCAGCGGGAGCAGTCACAACGGGAGGCGGTAGCTCTTAGCTCTCGGCTTAACATTCTTGCCGACGAGGTCGTCTTTCAGAAGCGAATGGCGATAGTGCAGGCGATTCTACTCCTTTCTTGCCTCATACTTGTTATATTCTCTCGAGCCATGACCCAACCGATCCTAACAGGCTCCTTTGACCTTGGACGGTCTCCGAGCCACAACCACCGGCTGCCCGGCCCTCCCATAGACCGCGGCCATGAGGGGGAGTACGTTCCTCGTTATGACAAGTTTGGACGGCCCTTGGACAACGACATCGCTGGCGAAGATGAGGCACCCGACAGGAACCTGGATGTGCATCGACTCACACCAGACACACCAAAACGGCTTCTCACGCCCACATCGGAAGCTGGGTACAGCCGCCGCCCAGATACGGCCATGACACCGGAGCTGCTCTCAGTCGAAGAGTTTATGGAGAGTGATCCCCACAGTAGCTTCCGTGACTCTTCCCCCGGCTCCGACGTTCGCTCTCCCAAGGACGAGCAATTCATAACGGACAACTCTAGAAAGGATGATCATGGATATCCAGTCCAGTGTCTAGATAAATCGACAGAAGTTCTTGCAGGTTCATTGCTAGAGGCAGATTCTGCTTCGGTGTATTCATGTAAATCTCGTGGATCCATCCCTTCTACGCTCCGCAAACCGCTCCCAGCATTGCCTGAACATCCGCCCTGAGAAACACCTTCTCGATACGATACCTTCAATACAATTAAACCCGCACTTCAGCCGTAGTTCAGTTAACATCATACTTGATTGTCTCTCGGGGATGATTATCTGCGCTACCGACTGTCCTCTACATACAATGTCGTGCTGGCCCTCTAGGCTTCCAGGGGTTGACTGTGTTTTGAGAGACAAGGAATCGCCGCGGCGATGCTACACCCCTCCGATGGGGTACAAGTCAGCGGAAGTGGGTGGTCCATGACCGTGGTCTCAAAGTTGATAATACAGCCATGATATCCCCGCAGAGTCTAGCTAGGTATTAATGATTACACACGTTGACGATGCTTCCAGAAAGCTCCTGTATATATAGCAAGCAAAGCTGAAGCCCCGTATGTGGTTAAAACCTTGTGGTGTGCAAATCTCTCACGGCAGTATTACAGCCCCGGTCGCTTCGTCCTAGGATCTCTCTTCCAAGTGGTGTCGATAAAGTGGGTTCTACTGTGAATGGTACATGTATGGCTGCATCGAGGCTTCGAGGTCATGCTCTTCGAGCGCAGCCAGTCTCGTACCCCTGTCGTACTGCGAACGTCTGCGGCGCTGCTCGTCGCGGAAATGCTGTCCAGCGTTGGGCGTGAAAAGTCCTACGTGTTAGCGATCAGCAGAGTTCGTTGTGCGGCATGGCATGGAGACACCTTACCAACGTGCTCGGCATTCTCGCAGCTACGCTTCATCTTGGATTGGTTGTCGGGTTGAGGAAATGGTTCCTCTTCTCCTGCCAGCTCAGGGACTGGTCCGTTAGAGGTGTAAAACAACTATGTTCATGTTAGCTTTACTGCTGTTCATATACAGGGTAAATTCGTGCCTTTGGGCGGTAATGCGCCGCTTCCAGCATCACAGAGCTGTTCCTGAATTTCTGAACAAGACAATCCTTGCCTTGGATAGCTTCGGGCATCGCGTCAGCAAGCGTTACGGCTTCATGTTGAGCATCATGATGCTTACTGGCATAGGAAATCTCGGCGACCTTGTCGCTCTTGAAGCAGTTCCTGTGCCCTTGTTAGCCAGACACGTCACGGACCTGGTAGAAGTTCACAACTTACCATCTTTGGTTGCCTCTTGTGTTCACGAACTGTATTCCTGGAGTTAGCTGGTTTATGAACATAAAAGCGGTGCTCACCTACATCGATGATGTCCAGGGGCTGAAAGTCGATATTAGCAGACGCTCATCGCTGGTTTTTTTGGTGGTTATTTGTTTTGGGGGGGGGGGGGGGTGGCTTACGTCGACGAAATTAATGAACGCATATCCGACACTTCCAGGGCGCTCGGTGTTAGTTCCACCTCGTTAGGGGGCTGACTGGCGATAGAATGAAAACATACTTGCAATCGTTCGCAAAGTCAATCCGTAGATACATGAAGTCATACTTGCCCCAGCTAGACTCGTCCACAATTCTCTTGAGCATTGCCTGGTCAACCTTGTTTGGGATGTTGCGAAGCATGATCTGGGTTCGTCAGTCAGGATATGCTTAACCCAATATCTCTATCTCACCGTTGTGCGGACATCCGTTCCCTCACGGATTCGGTTCACATCGACATGGTTGTGGTGACTGGCGACATTATAGTAAGAAGACCGGTTGACTCGCGCCGCATTCTGCCTGCGAGACTCGCCCCTGACGTTGGGCGAGATTTGACTCATGACCGACATGCTACGGGCAGGCCGAGAAAACAGGGGGCTGGCAAGGTGGTATTCGGCTGAGTTGGAGGTAGGAGGCGGTGACAGATGGCGGCCGTCATTGACCACGTAGGCACCATTAGGTTGGAACTGTGGCTGGCAGAAAATCGGCCACATCGCGAAGGGGGGCACCTGGAAACCGAAGGGCGAGTAGTGAGAGTTGCTTCCGGACATGGGCGCGCTATGAGGCACCAGGTGCATTTGAGGGGCCGTTTTGGATAGAGACAATGCTTGGAGGATGTTCGTCGGATCACCACACATACTTTGACTGGCACTGTCAGCTGTGCCATCACTGGCATCTTGGGTCACCTGAGAGGTGTTATTGGCTTCCAGAAGTGAAAGTGTTATATGTGCTCCCTGGTCAATGGTTAGCTTTTTCCCTCTCTCGAAATAATGGATGTATAGGGGAGGTTATTTGAAAGTACTCACCTCGACAACCCTGTTGTCGAATGTAACCACCGCTGATGCAGCCATGGATGGATCGTTGAACTGAACGAAGGCCTTGAATACCGAATGGTCATGGGTTTGTTGCACATGGAACGCAGAAAGTTGACCCTGTGAATTCAGCATACGTTTGACGGCTGCTTCAATACGAAACATGTCAATCAGACCCGGAGATGTAGCCACAGCAACGACAGACACCCAAAGGCCGGACCTGTTAGACTCTCGGTGGAATTTCTTGGTATGAGTTAGGGACTGGGTGACAGTAAAGTCCCGAATGGGGGCATGCTCACCTCGAATAAGTTGACATCTGAAAGATACTGAGCTTCACAATCGACCTCGGCCCGATGAATATTGTCGTGGACAAGGACGGCATCGCGGATATCGCTAAACTGGACGTAGAGTCTGCCACCTTTGCATTGGACTTGGGCCGGTTCCTGGACCAAGAGGCCGAGGCGATGCAATCTCTGAACTACCATTAGTCTGTTTTCTCAAACTTCACAGTGCGAATGGCTTACTGCGAAACACGCATTCAGGTCAGCTATGCCGAGGTTTCGGCTCGATGAATGAACGTTGAGACTTCGTGATAGTTCGGCCGCATACTTCCGGCCTGGTGAGGTTGAGTGTTGATTGCAGGCAGGAGTAACGTAGTTTTGGTTTTTCTCCAGTGTGTATGAGAAGGGCTGGAAGGTGGAGGCAGTCGGTGACAACTTCTGATGGCCGGAGCCAGAGTTTGCAGCGACAAAAGGGTCTATCTCGGCACTGGAGATGATGTTGCTAAAGCTGGTTGTAGGGAATCTGGAAGGAGTAGTTTCCGGAGAGTCTTGCGATGTGGACTTCCGAAGACGGGAGGATTTGACGGATCCTTCCTCCGGGGAGAAGGCAGTCAATCTCGTGTCGGGAGTTCCTTTGAGGGACTCGGCACCTCCAATAGAGGAATGCGGGGACGATGGATTGAACATATCGGCCTGTCGACTGGAGGGTATACCTTCTGTGAGCCGGTTGACTTGATCGCCGTCCAGTACCTGGCTTAATTAGCATACGGGTCTTGGCCAAGGACGTAACAAGAAGAAGTAAGTAGGTGACGCATCGAGAATCGAGTCACGAAGAGGACGTTAAACTAACCTGTAAAGAGATAGAGATAATCACAGCGTTGGATAGCAGACACTGACGGGATTTTCTCGCTTTCCAGCTGGCCACAATCTGCTATGTCTTACACGAAATAGAGTTGACGGCAGCGGGTAACAGTCGACCATGAACTGTAAAGAAGCACAGTACTCTGGACGAGAGGTGAGATGTGTGTAGCGGGGGAGAGAGGCAGAGGGACAGCGTGCGTATGTATGTGCGTGTGGAAGTGTAGGTTAGATAGCCCGCCTATCCCGGGTCTGACCGTGATCGACTGAGTTACCTTGAGGTGAGATGGTGCGCGTGTTATGAAGGTAGATCGACGTGGGTAATGCGAGGCAGAGGGATTGCGAGGCCAACCAAAAGTGAGAACAACGAAAGGTTCGTGGCCAAGGAGGAAGTGAGGAAAAGAAGAAGCCGCACTTCTGGGGAGTGGAGAGGATTGATATGTAATGAGAGTGGCGCGGTTGTGTTGGATGAACCAAAGAAGAAGCTGCGAGATGAAAGGCAGCAACGGAAAGGAGCTGGGGTTTGTGGGTGGCCGGTTGGACAGAGCAGGCAGGTACGTTTATCTTCTCCTTCCTCGTCCGCCTCCCACCCTGTCCTGAGTGCTCGTCTCTCTCATCGTTGTACCCCCTTTCACACGGCTTCGCGGTTTCATCTTGTATTTGGCCCTCCTCGTCTTCTCCTTCTTCTTCTTGATTGTTTTTAGTACATGCTATTCTTACGCTGTGAAGGAATCAAATACGGACCAAGCTCGCCCAGCAATCAACTCATGCTCACACAACTGTACACGGCCAAGGGTTACTTCGGCCGCTCCATAAAGTTGCTATGTGATATCTCTTTGGAATATTGAGCAATGGTAGCATTCGTTATCACTCATGATGGGCCTTGACGTGTCGTGAGATCAGGTGTCATGATCGAAACGGGGTATCACAAGACAAGGAGCGACGCAACTGTGATACCTGATGCTCAAGTTGGCACGTTAGAAGACATCGATGTAAGTGTAAAAAGCACCGTGGCGGACACACTGCATGGCATCGAAAAAATTGCAAAGTAACCACAAATCGAGTTTTTGAGGTCCGAAATGGCACAGTTACTTGAGGAACACCCATACATGCTGCTGGCTGCTACAAACAAGCTTGCTGCTTGACCGAGAACAGGGAGATTTGTGCGGGACAATCGAAGCATTAAAAGATATGTTAAGAATCAGCTGCCCAACTCGTCGTTAGCATTTCTAGCTAAGGTATAAGATCGGTCATTGGGCGGTCATGCTAGAGTACTCTGATGGGCGCAGGTAGACGACAACCATCGAATCCCTGTTGTTTTTGGCAGTCGAACAGAAGTGAGTGACATCCTGGCACAAAGTCTAAGGTAGGTAGTACAGTAAACGGCGAAAGACCCACCCTCCACGCCGCCGCATAGGACACAGCACCGGGGGAACGGCGGGACCCTGCACCTGGAGTACCTACCTATAGTGATGTCAGGGATGTTACCAGGTGAGTACCTGCATTAGCGGTGCTGAGCCAGCCTAGGCCCACTAAAGAGCCTCATCAGCTGCCGTCACCTCGAGTTAGAATACATAACGTCTTGTCCTCCGACATCACCATTCCGTCCGGCGTGGTCTCTCCAAATCCATTACTCATCTTACAAGGCTCCCGTTCTTATGCATCAAAATCACTTGGAAACACTACAGTAATATAAAATCGATTGCAAAAAACTTGAGGACCACATTTTACCGAAGAAAACACTCCCACTTAGTCCAACGATCCGCCGAAGATTGTCAAGGTCATGGTCCAGGATGCCACGACGTCCGCAAACCTACGATGATTACGGCGCAGCCGTCCAGCAGGTTTCAGCGACCCTCAGTTCTCGATATCTCGCATAGGATTTGCGCGAACTGACACAGACTCCTTCAGATCATCCTGACCTCGTCCGACACAGACTTCCTCGATCAGCTCATCCCTGTCCTCAAAGATGCCTCCCACTCGAACCGAACCCCCTCGCTGATGCAAAACCTCGTCCGATATGCCGAAGAGAGGGAATCCGATATCGAAAGAATAGGCCTGACGAAGCATGAAGAGTTTTTGGGTTCGGTGAATCAATTACAGAACGTACGCGAGGGCACTGTCGCGCTTACGGCGGAGATTCTGAGGCTGAACCAGTCTATCCAAGCAAGTACAGAGAAGCTTGCTGATCAAAAGCAAGCTCTAGTAAACACAAGGGCAGTGCGACAGAATATTGCCGATGCATCCGACGCGCTGAAAGAGTCTCTTGGGATCCTACATGCCGTCAACCATGCTCACGAACTAATTCGCAAAAAGAAGTACTACGCAGCACTCAAGTCTCTTGAGGACCTGCAGAATGAGCATCTGATTCCGACAATTCAGAACAAGTATGCCACCCAGCACAAGCTGGCTGACGTGATTCAAAAGTCAATACCAGCGTCACAGAAAATCATTTCCGAAGCTGTCATGACAGACCTCAACACCTGGTTGTTTCGCATCCGTGAAACTTCGCAATTCCTCGGCGAGGTCGCGTTCTATCATACCGAACTTAGAAGGGCGAGGCAGAGGGAACGTGTGGAGCGCGACAGCTATTTGAACAACTTCAGACTCAATTCGTCCATCGAGCTAGTCTTTGACGAGAGCGAGGAGTTCGACGTGCTCGACAATGAGGAGTTGCAGGTTGACTTCACGCCATTGTTCGAATGCCTGCATATTCACGACGCCTTGGGCCAGAGCGACAAGTTCCGTGCCGAGTATGCAACAACTCGCCGACAGCAGAAAGAGTTGCTATTACCAAGTACGGTTGGGCTTGTCGCAGATGACGAAACCTCACTCAGTAGTCTGCTTGAAGGCATCGCCGGTTTCGCAATCATCGAAAAGGCGACGATGCGTCGTGTTCCTCATCTGCGCTCTGCTGTTGATGTAGGCTCATAGTCTTCAGCCAATCATTGATCTTAATGCAGCTGCTAACACATGACCAGGTGGACGAGCTCTGGGATTCCATGTGCCATACTGCCATCACCCTTACCTCGCAAGCGCTGAATGAAGTAAGCAATGCTGAGATTCTACTCAAGATCAAAGGCGTCATAGCCTTATTCATCCAAACTATGGAGGTAGGGCTTCTTGTTATCTGTCTATCTTGATGCTGCTTCCTGACACTGAAGCTTGCCAGGGTTGGGGATACTCTGTTTCCATGCTCGACAACTTTCTCCTCACCTTGTTTGATAAATACGCCGAGCTTCTCAAGCGCCGATTCAGCGAGGACTTCCAGGAGGTAAGATCTTCTATTCGGCCTCTGCGGTGCACCGCGTAGCTGATGAAACCAGATTGTCTCGACGGACGACTACATGCCTATGGCCATCAACACCCGTGAGGAGTATGAGAAAGTGGTAAATGTCAGCTGGTTTTCTCAAGACAAACCTCTGGAAGAACTCAGGCGAGGCCTACATCCGCATTTCGACCTTGCTTTGATCCTAACGATTGCCCAGCTTCCCATGCGTCTTGCCGTTCTCGCAAATGTACCCGCTCTGTTGTATCGACATTCGAAACTTCCTGAACCAGTTTTACTTCTTCTCCGACGATCACTTCCAGCATCCCAATATTATTGACGACACACTTCGCAAGGTAACCGGCCTGACGAGCTTAAGGGCAGGGAAATTTTACTGACCTCGCTACTCTCAGTCGCTGGATGAGCTTTTGACAGAGAAAGTCTGCAAGTCTCTTGTTGAAAGGCTGAGCTCGCAGTATCTTGGGCAGATCGTGCAGATTCTCATTAATCTTGAGCATTTCGAAGCTGCTTGTCAGGAACTCGAGCAGCTCCTCATCAGAGCAAGATCTTCTACATCGGCCGGTGGTCCTGTCACGCTTGTTGCCACAGAAGAGTTTCGAAACAACAAAAAGACGGCAGAGAAGCGCATCTTCGAACTCGTGAACTCCAAGATTGATGACCTTGTTGACACCGCTGAATATGACTGGTATGTATCATTGCAGTTAAAGGACGATAGGCTAGACCGGCAGTTGCAAACCAAGCGATCGACGAGAACTGACAATGTCGTACAGGATGGCGACCACAACATCTCCCGATCCCAGCAGTTACATGCAAACCATGACCCGATACCTCTCCAATATTATGAACTCCACACTTCTTGGCTTGCCAAGAGAGATCAAGGAACTCATCTATTTTGACGCTCTCAGCCATGCCGCTAACAAGATTCTCGTCAGTTTTCTTACGTGCTGACCTAGATCTGTCCCTCACTAACACAAACTGTGCAGGCGTTGCCGCTGTCCCCTGACGTCAAGCACATTAACACTAATGCTGTTGCGGCACTGGCAAAGGATGTGCAGTACCTCACGGAGTTTGTCGACAGTCTCGAGAATGGAGCCATGCTCCGAGAGAACCTGGACGAACTCCAGCAAACCATCAACCTAATGCAGTCCGACAACCACGACGAGTTCTTCGATATTTCCATCCGCAACAAGAAATTTGGTCGCGTCGACGCCTTGAATGGTCCCATACTGCTGGAGAAGTACGTCCAGGCCCAGACCTCACTATTTGAACTATGTACTGACAAGCATGCAGGCTCACTTCCAATGCTCAAGGTCCCACCCGCAGCGCCCCACTTGCCAACTTCTCTTCGCGATTCGGTATGATGAAGTGAGGCACACCATCTGCTTCACGACAGCTGCTGGTTGGATCTGGCAACCTGCTGAATGTTGATATCATGCCCCAACGGTCACGACGTTACGCTCAAAGCTCTCTGTAGCAACCAATATTTGTATTTCTCTCCTAGTTGTTATCAGACTGGCCCCCATTTAGGCCAGATTCGCAACACCAACTGGAGCACTTCACGCCGAGCACCAGCAGTTCCGATGCGTTACGTCATGATAGCTCTCGTCACCAGTAATGCCTTCAACGCCGCGACGCCAGAACCAAGTAGAAACAATGTTCGTGCCTCTTCCCATCAGCTGTAGCGGTCAAGAACAGAGGTATTCAATTTATGCACCTTTCGGAGCTGAGGAATCCTACTCGAATTCCTCGGAGGACATGGGTGGCTAGAGGCACGTCAGCCGATCCGCATCGCAAGATTCGTGTAGTTCAGAGTTGACTCACCTGTTGAGGCTGCATCCCTCCATATCCGTACATTCCCTCAATCTCGCCATACATGGGCTGTTGAGCTTGACCATAAGGAGCCGATGGACCCGTTTGTACTTGGCCAGGGTACATGTTGGGGTTCTGTCGGTAGTCCTGGTCGGCCCCGAGAGCATGGCCGGCGAGGCCATAATCGGTTGCGGCCATAGGATGGGAGGAGGAAGAGTGATTGGCGGCTTGTGGCAGGGAGCCGTGCTGGCCGGGTATTTGAGAAGTGGCTTGAGCCGGGACGCCTTGGGGAGCAGGGGCAGCTTGACCGGCAGTCCTTTTGGCGTGGGACGAGGCCTCTTCTCGGGGAACGATGTCGATAAGGAAATCAAACATGTCTGACTTGGCTAGCGCAGATGCAATATCAGAGCGCTGCAGAGTCCTTCGCTTGTTCTCCTCGGCGTGAATCCAGGCGCGCATGGTGAGCTCGGTGATGAAGATGTCGCAGCCCTTGGCGAAGAGGATGGGCGCTTCGGCGGAGATCATCTTGACTTCTGGGTCGGCTTTCATGACCTTCTTTATGCGGGCCAAGGGCAGCTGATGCAGCTTGTAATCGTGGTTGTCGCTCTCCAAGTGGTTGATGGTCTGTTGCCAATAGGTCGTCAAGATGTCCTTGTACTGTCCGGTCAAACCCTGGTGAACCTGTAGTTAAGCTGCGTCAGCAGTCGGGCAATCATATAGCTATTAGGGCGAGGGGAGGCACGCACATTGGCCCATGGACCAGTGTAGAGTTCGGCGGGGGCAAAGCCCTGGGCGGAAAGCTATTGTACGAACATGGTCAGACGCGGCCGTTGGATTGGTACAAGCCAGCCATCGCAGGCGGAAAGGCATGGACAAGAACGAGGCGGGGGAGAATACGAACCGCAGCGCTTGCGCCTATGTGGATGGATAAATTGTCAGTAAAATAGTAACATGACGGGAGTAAACAGAGGGGGCGCGTGTGCAGTGCACACGTTGCGCTGGAGATAGCGAGAAAGGGGAGCGATGTTTCCCCGTTCCTTGCTTACCGTAGTGACCGCCATGAGTTGTATCGTAGACGGGCTGGGGACGGCCCTGTTGGGCATGGGAGCCAGACTGGTTCTGAGGATCCATTGCGATTCGTTTGACTGGCGAGTGAGTGTCGGAAAGGCAAACAGTCAAGCTCGAGTAAGGTAAGGAAAGGTAGCGTAGTGTGAGGCGCGCGTCGCAACTGTTGACCGAAGCTGTAGTGAGGTGGAGTGAAGTACCTCTGGGTCAGGCTGAAGAGCGCGAGTCGGGTTCCGTGTGGTGTCGCGAATGAAACGGCGCGTGGGGTCGATTCAGTACTGTCGCGCGAACAAGTGAGGGTAGACGCTCTGTACAAATACTCAAATTGTTCAGCTTCTCAGGTGGCGCCCAGTCAGTCAGTACCTATCCATGGGTACCCGACCAGCGGTGGAGATTTTCGGAGGTTGGAGCGCACCAGTACCTCAAGGTACCTAGCGTCAGGTACCCTGTGCTTGTCTGGCGAGGAAGATTTGAGCTGCAGCGGGTATACCTGTGCTTACCTCAAGCTCACTCACGGTCCTATGGGTAGGTAGTAGGTAGCATAGATGAAAGCGGGAGAACAAAGAACTGAATCCAAACAAAAACCGCCGTGCTACCAAAGTCAAGCAGAGTACCTATGCGGTTGTGGCTTGCGATAGACAGCAACTCCAAGGTTGGGCAACGTAAGAGGCGGAAGTTATGCGACGGTGGAGTTGAAAATGGCTGGTAAAGCGTTAGGTATGATGATGTTGGACTCATTGGCAGAAAAGCTAGGCTTGACTACCTTACCATCTTATCGGTGAGTGGGAACCCACGATTGCAGCTGCAGCCGGAACTGCAACCCAGCCAGCGTCCCTTGGTACCTGTAAGTATCTCTCGACGTTTGCTGCAGCAGGCCCTTGGGTACCAGCCTTGCAGCCTAGCCAATGGCACCCGCCAAGGTCATTTCTTAGCCACTGTTAGCCAACCTGCCTCATGCAAAGACATGCGCTGGTGAGCAGCCAAGCAGGGTGCACTTCCAGTACCGATTGCCTTCGACAATACGACGACCTTCACTGGTTAGGCATGCGTTGAAGAGTTCGTCAGCCAGCCTCTTTACACCTGACTGTCGAAAGCGCCAATGAACAGTTGTTGGTAGGCTGAGAAAGTCGGCCGAATGACGCAGTCACGCATTCGTTTACACACCGTACTATGCAGCAAGGTGACGTGGCTGAGGATGAAAGTCTACGATGTGACTGTAACAGTGCTCAGCACCATTGTCAAGTGCTTCGTCTTTCTTCCCGTCTATTCCATAAAACGTGTTGCTTCGGAGAGAGGAAGAGGTTGACCGCAGTACTACCAGCCACAGAGCAATCAAATTGAGCCAGAGCATTGAGAGCCTGAGGATGCAAGCATCCTTGCTTGTTCCAGTGGCTTACCTAATTCTTCTTGGCACTAGGCGTTCCTCTCTCGTCCCCATCCCAACTCCAAATCGCCCCACCTGAAGTTTTAAGAAAGAAAAAAATCGCAACCAGCCGCGCTTTCCCTTTGATTTTCCCTTTTTGACCGTTTCTATTTGAACTCGAGTTCCCCTTCAGCTTCCACGGTTCGATCGCACTTCACCGCTATGCCAGAGCTATGCGATGAGCATCTCGATGAACTCCTGAAAGAAGCGGCAAGTCGCCTAGCGGCTAAGCAGTCATCAAGGCCGAAGGATTGCAGCTTGATCGCCGTCGCGGCCGCACCTGTCGATCCATCTACGGAATCAAAGGTTCAGCCCCAAGCACAAGACTCAAAAAGCATTACGCTTCGCGATCCTAGGCCATCGGACGACAAGGTACGTTATGCGCATTCTTAGAACTCCTTGACAGTCTCCTGATGAGAAGCAAACCCCTGCTTAATATCTTGATGTGGTGACGGTGCCCGTCTTGGGTTGCTCCACCACGCCAACATGATCCTTTATTTTCATAGTTACTCTGACCTAGAATGTTCCCCTGCTCTACTCTGTTTCCGCACAATCTCTGTAGGAAACTATTACTGACAGCAACCGGACAGACACAAGACAATGCTGGCCCAGGCTGGTTCGGCATACCTAAGACGGATCCTAATGACCCCGATCTAAAGCGAGATCTGCAGATTCTTCACATGAGAGGAACTGCTATTGACCCCAAGCGGCACTACAAGAAGGAATCACTCAAGGCTAGAATGCCACGTTATGCTCATGTTGGACGCATCGTCGAGGGCCCAACCGAATTCCACAGCGCCCGCTTGACGCGCAAGGAGAGGAAGCAGACGCTGGTAGATGAGTTGCTGAGCGCCGAAAAGGCCTCAGGCAAGTTCAGATCCAAGTATGAGGACATCCAGGTGAAAAAGGCGAGCGGCAGGAAGGCGCACTACAAGAAATTGATAGAGCGTCGCCGGCGCAACCGCCATTAAGCAGAATGATACACAAATGCATAATTCTCCAAACGTTCCATCGCTGTACTCCCGTGCACAACCAGTCATATCTGTAGTTGTAGAACTCATCGCCAACCCTGATATTGCGTCTATCTAATAGCCTGAAAAATTCACGAAATGCTATCGCAGTTAGCTCTTCCGTCCTTTACATGATCTTTGAGAAAGCGATAAATAGAGCATCTGGGCAGCACACTGAAAGCACTCACTCCCAGTACAGAAGATTACCAAATAATCGGCCATGTACAATGAGAAGGTGGTCGATAGATTAAGCGATGCAGTAATATGGATGAGACAGCGGTACTTGCATAAATGCTACCTTCGATGCTACTTCTATCCTTTAAATGAATTATATGTGGGTACCTCGAGATTTTACGGGCTTGAGTACGATTTTCGACCTCTTCGCATCCAAGTGTACTGCTTCAACGGCAACGGCGCCCTGTCACGCATTCAGACACGATGCGCGCAACATCACTACTACGGCCGATGGCCCGCTGTCTGGCACGGCCGACGTCACAGGTTGTTCTTAATGTTCCCAGACGCAATTGCGGTCAAGGTGAATGGGTTTGCAAGCTAACCCTCCGACTTTGTTCCTGCAGGCTATTATTACCCAGAGAAACACATGGATCCGTTGCCTCGCCTCAGAGACGAAGCAGACCACTGCGGACAAGCCTGAAGCTGTGTAAGGACTATCTTCTCGCTTCTGCATATGCCTCGCGCGTAGTCTCCATGTTGTGCTAATTACTGCTGTCTTGTAGGGAGAACGTCCTTGCCAAAGCCAAGGAAGGCGGTCCGCGGTATCCCCGAAGTATACAAGCCCTCTACCTCCAGCCACTTCGACGCGAGGCCGAGTACGGCATCCCCTCATGCGATCTTCAGCTGCGCTCATACAGTTTGAGGAACCTCGAGTTCTTCGCCGACTTTGCCCTCCGTGCAGCATACTACCTCAAGCTTCCGGCCTTCGGCCCTGTGCCGCTCCCCCGAATTACCGAGCGATGGACAGTCCCCCGGAGTAGTTTTATCTTCAAGAAGTCACAGGAGAATTTTGAGCGTGTCACAGTCCGTCGCCTCATCCAGATCCGCGACGGAAACCCGGAGACGGTGCAGTTGTGGCTGGCGTTTCTACAGAAACACGCGTACTACGGCATCGGCATGAAGGCCAATGTGTGGGACTTTGACAAGCTGGGTATGTGCCAATCTTTGGCCGGAGGCAGCTTCATGTCTAATTCTGTATCACGGCGCTAACATTGTATCTCCTAGGCATCGGCAAGACCATGGATACTACGGACCAAGGTACAGCCAAGGCTATCGAGTCCAAGTGGAGCCACCTGGGCCAGAACCGGGACCTTGATACAGTTGAAAAGGTTGAAGAGTTCTTGGCCAAGGTGAGATTCGATACCGACAGCGGCAAGCGGGCTGAAGGCGAGCGGCGGTTCGTTGAGGGGCAGTACAAGCGGGAGGAGGCGCTCAGGAGAAGGGCGACAGCCGCAGAGACCGAGTCTTCCTGAGGAAATCGAAAGACTCGAAAGCGACGGGTGCTTGTTTGAACGGCTGTTAGCCCACTGGAAGGGAGACGGAGCGGTGGAAAACGACATGAGATCGGTACTCAGTCGATTTGTACTACGTATCTAGAATGGGCCTCACGCGCCCTATGTAAATCTTAGCAAAAGCAGACAATCACCCGGGTAGAAGGGTGGTCCTAGAAGCAATGCATCTGTACCATCATTCCCGGTTTTTCTTTAGCCAAAAGCCTCAGTCAGCACCGATTGTGAGGACCCTAAGGCTATGGCTTGTGACTGAGCTAACAAGGGATATCTGCTACGCCCCGCTATATAAATACACTGCATTAAGACCATAATGCACTCGCCCATACTTTCAACCGTTGGCAAGGTCGACCCCATGTACATCAACAATAATAAACCATTCAGACCTGTGGAACAATAAAGGGCATCTAATTGAATTTGGCACAGTCGCTGAGGTTGTAAGGATCTCCAAGCTAATACTGTCGCGGTCAGACTCACATTCATTATTGGCACTGAAGGTAAGCACTCTAGCAGAGCTTTTCCAAAGGTATCGATCGGCTCACCCTATTTCCAGTTCCTTGGCCCAAACAACCTCAGTCTGCAAGTACCACGACGAGAATCTCTTGTCATGTGGCGGCACGCAAGACCGGCAGCTCGTCGACTTCGAACCTTGGATGGACGGCGTGCCGTGTCAACTGAAAGGCAGAATGTGATCTTCTCTGGTATCCAGCCCACAGGGACGCCGCACTTAGGCAACTATGCTGGCGCCATTAGGCAATGGGTGCAGCTTCAGAGCGAGCCGGCCGACCGTTGCAAGCTGATTTACTCTGTTGTTGATCTACATGCCATCACCGTGCCTCAACAAGCGAAGCAACTGAGGCAGTGGAAAAGGGAGACACTAGCTGCCCTGTTAGCTACCGGTATCAACCCGAACGCTCGACATTGTTTTACCAATCTTCTGTATGACGACCTTGGCCTCTATAGGCAACACCGCTCATTCATTCACGCCCCCTCCGCTGTCCCCCTCCCACACAAGCACAAGCACGCTCGGCTGCCATATTCCTCACTCATATCTTGGCCGTTCAAAGCTCCATGCTTACAACTCGACTATAGGTTCCGGCTCACTCAGAACTTATGTGGATTTTGAGCTGCACAGCCTCTATGGGCTACTTATCCCGTATGACACAGTGGAAGGTTAGTTGAATTGCTGTCCAACGCTCTCTCGCCTGCTCTGTGTCTTACTAATGTCACTTTCTCTGTAGAGCAAGCTGTCGCTGTCTTCTGACGCCACTATTCTCGACGAAGGTGCCAAAGCTTCATTGAAGCTCGGCTTGTTTTCGTACCCGGTCCTACAGGCTGCAGATATCCTCGTTCATCGGTTCGTGACACTCCATCCAAATGTTGACATTCTGAATCACGTTCGGGTGTCGCGATAGAGATTGGCGACATAGCTTGCTGACGGTCCTTGCAGTGCTACACATGTCCCGGTGGGTGACGACCAGAAGCAACACCTCGAATTTGCTCGCGAATGTGTAACCAACTTCAACTACAACTTCGGCGCGCATCTCGTTTCCCCAGAAACCATCACATGTAAGTTGATACTCTTGTTTTCAGGACTTGATTCCTAACAGCGCAGCTACGGCACGGCGGGTCATGTCACTTCAGCAACCCAATCAGAAAATGTCAAAATCCGCCGCTGACCCAAGGTCACGCATCCTCATTACCGACACGCCTGAAGAAATTCACAAAAAGATCATGAGTGCGCGGACAGACTCCTCCAACCATGTTTCTTATGATCCGAACAACCGGCCAGGGGTATCAAATTTGGTGGAAATCTTATCTATTTTCGATGCACAGGGAAGAAGCCCGTTCCACCTTGCTGAAACCTTCTCCCAGACGTCTCTCAAAAACTTCAAGCAGACGGTCTCCGCAGCTGTTGTTCAAGGGCTTGAAGGATTTCGTGAGCGCTATTTCCACTTTTTGTCGGCCGACGAGGGAAAATATCTTGACGCTGTCGAGGCACAAGGGGCGAATAAGGCCCGCCTCAGCGCCGAGGAGACCATGGCCATTGTACGAGAGGCCACTGGACTGTGAGAGTCATTCTTGGCAGCTGTTCGTTAGATGGCCTATCCAATACAGCCCTCTTCTGGGCTGCAATGACTATAACAGACCATGTAAGATAGTGTAGCATAATCTCCTATGCTCGCAGAGCCATCGACAGAGACCCGCCATGGAACGTTCGTTGCAGAACGCAACGTACCAGTCGTCAAAGTCCTACACACTCAAGTGACTTTTTCCAGATACCCATTGCATCCGCCTCAAGAGGCATAGGCAAACTTAGACCCTCGGGCTGCAAGCCAAAACTCTCGTACGACTTGGTTGGTTCCTCTTGCACCCCTGAGGCTACATGAGGGAGTCAGCGTTGCTAATACCCACTCTCCACGTGGCTGACTAAACTCACTTGATGATCTTCTTGAGAAAGATTGCCTTCTCGTCACCGGATACTTGTCGACCGGGAAACGATGGATCATGCAGAGCTTGCTCGAGCCAAGCTCGAGATTTAGCATGATGGCTTACCATCTTCTTGAGTGGTTCGCTCAGCCTATCTAACTCGCTCCTCGAGGCATTCCCACCAATGTTGCGGATGATGGATTGAGCGAGCAATGGACCAAGCTGGTTTATGGCGTGGTCTATCGTTTCTTGCGTCCCTTGATCTGTAGGCTTCAACGTCATGAATGTTGCCTGGTTCCTATTAGCAAATTGCAAAAGAGAACTGCTCCTCGTTGAGGAACCTCGTTCAGAAACGAACCCAGAAATCAGCGGCTGCCGCTTTCGGTAGTGGCTCGCGCCCATCCAGTACTTGCAATGAGTACATGAAGAAAAACTCAGCGAGCGGAAGGTAGTCAGAATGAAACAGGGCAGCGGGTTCCCGCAAGATCAGGCGATTTGTGAATTCGATGCCATTCTGCGCTAGTTCCGTATCACTGTCCGGTTCTGTGTTGTCAAAGCAGTTAGTAGTGCACCTGGGTGAATCAAGCATCTCCTTACCTGACAGCTGCTGAAGTAAACCTATAACCCATCCGAGAAGCTTAGTCCTGATTTCATCCACGTCGTCCCGTTTCATGTTTCTCAGGGAGCTAAGAAATGAGCAAGCTGTGCTCACGAAAAAGCCGATGCGAGGTGTTTGAGATGTCTGTTGGACGAGATAGTCACAGACAAGCCGGGGAGGAAAGACAAAGGGTCCAGCCTCAGATTCGGAAAACCCTGTTCTGAAGATGTTACAAACACCCTCAGCCACTTCACCGCTTTGCGGGAACGAGTTCTGCAGCTGGGAAATCAGAGACAGGATTCCAGATTGTATTTGGTCCAGTCTTGAATCGTGCTTGGTGGATGAGAAGTCGTTCTCTCTCTCCAGGTCGTACGGCATATCTCCTGGAACCTGTAGGCCTTTTCCAATGCTAATCAGACATCTTAATGCTTTCAAGGCCAAATGAAGAGGGAGTTCGGAGAGTTCAGTCAACGCCGAGCAGCGGTGAATATCCATGGCATTGCCCGTTGCATCACTCGGAAGTCTGGGTAGGGACAGTAGCTGCACAGACTTGCGAGCATCGTGCTGAACGAATGAAAGCAGAGCCTCAAGATGCTCGAATCTTGATTTCTCATCCGGCACAGCCTGCAGAACAGCGGCAATAGCCCCCATAATTCTTTCACCAGCTAGGCAATCTAACTGACTCTGCGTGGCGATGGTCTGATACTGACTCAGGAATGCGCTTGCCTCGGATGCCAGAATAGACCGAGATGAAAAGCAGAGTCGTTGAATCGACCTCGCTGCAGGCCCAGCCAACAGAGAGTCGGCTAAGACAGAAAAGAGCAAGTTGAGCGCAGCAGGAAGGCTTTGTGTCTCGCGCTCAAAGTAGTCGGAATATCTTTCAATTAGAGATATGCAGGTCTGACGCGTACGGCCAGGCATAGAATCCCTAGATGTTCGCAACAGGTCGAACAAGGACGAAGAGAAGACAGCCCTGAGTGTCTCGTCGCACCTGGGATCGCCAGTCACACAATCGGCCAGAGACCCTAGACAAAAAGCCGCAGCCTCAAGATCTGATGACGAATTGGGTGACAGCGACTGTAGAGTCAGATTTCCGAATGTCGAAATCAATGATGGCCCAGTCACTGTGAACGCTGACTGGAGAAGGTCAGCGACATCCTTCCTTGCATCTCCAAACCCTGCTCGATCGGCCGAGTCCCAGCCAGCAAGAACACTAGCAGGTGGGTAAGCTATCCGTTGCCAGACGGTAGAGATGGCCTCCAGGACATGGGATGTAGCCGTCGCTACCCAAGCCTTGGACTCTTCGTCCTCCGAATAGATACTGTCCGTTAATGTCTCCACATAGGTAGACCAAAACTCAAGGGCTTGGACGAATATCTTGTCTTCGCTCACAGGGTATCCTTGGGCAGAGAGCAGACCGCGCAGATGTGCAAGAAAGCGAGAAGATCGGGCATCAACGCCGTGAATGAGAGTCTCAACCTTGGAATCACCAAGGGCGATCATGAGCTGCCCGAACTGGACAGATTCGAAGTCGAAGTCTCCATCGATAAGACGTTGGTAGCGTTCGCAAGACCATTGGGTCTCGAAGAGAGAAAAGAGAGACTCGTAGTGGTCTTCCGTCAGAAACCCTGAGTAGTTGGACAATATCTCGGAAAGCAGCTCCACGGCCGCTTCGTACAAATCTTCCTCGGCCAAGGCCGCAATCGTAGGCTGGACCAATGCACGTAAAGAGCCAACGAGCTCATCGTTATGCGCCGATACCCTCTGGGAAAACCACACCCATGACTAGGCATTGTCGAGTAAGTAAACGCTCCGGTAAAAGCATTACGCGGTTGCGCCAGGAGGGTTTCTTACCTGCAAACAGGCTATAGATTCTTTCTGGATGCCGCGGCTTGTATGATCTGAAGACGCCTGACGTGAAAAGCCATGAGACATTAACTCCAAAGCGTCTGGGACGTTGCGCTTCAGGGTCTCATATAAACCCATGCTACCATTTCGTCAGTAAAGATAAAGACTAAAGAGAGTGTCGCATGTTTCCAAGGCACACTTACTGTTTTGCTGAGTTCATTTCCACTTTGGCTGCTTCGTCTACCAGCCCTCCAGAGAACCACAGTGCAGCCTGGAGTTTTCGAGGATGAAGTACCTGTAGAACCTGGGATATGTTAATGGATCCGTCAACACTTTCCTGAGGCAAAGCAGTTCCCTCCGACAGAGAACAGCAGAGATGACGGATACAGAGTTTCCACTGAGCAGGGAAGCACAGGAAAAAGGTAACCAAAGCCGAGGATAATTTTCTAATAACCATGACCCCAGAGCCATCGTCCAGCGATTTGACAAACCAGCCGACGAGATTTTGTCGAAGTTCCGAAGCATCGTCATTTGACAGAGATGAGCTGTGCTCAACGTCAGTACCTATGGAGATAGATGAATAAAAATTGCCGGGAGAAGAATCGTACCTCTCGGTATTCAACTTGACGATCAATGTGAGGGCACCGAAGAACTTAGCCTTGTCATCTGCTTGACCAAGGAGATCTCGGGCAATCCACCAGCCGGATGGGGATCTCTGCATGCGATGGAGAGTCTCTTGGATCCTAGCGATAGTCTCGGGGGTGCCGGCTGATAAAGAGCCAAGACCAGCTGTGCATGGTCAGCCAACGGGTAGTCAGTCGTAGGTGAGTCGAGTGCCTTACGGCTTCTGCCTCTTGGATAGTCGATGGCAACGGGATATCCATGTTGCGAAGCTGTGCTTTTCCTTGGTCTGTCAAAAATGTCGTTATGTTACGCCCGTGGAAAAGCTCCGCGGCCAAATTGCCGGTGCCGTGAGGGTTCCTGGTCAGGCTCAAGCGAACTTGGGTATGGAGGGTGACCCAAGGTCAGGCAAATACGATATGAAGGAAGGCACAGCGGTGGTGGTGAGCACGGCCAATGTCAGTCTGAGGATCAATGTTCACCCAGGTCAAAAGAACGGGCTATTTTACGGAAAGAGTAAGAAAACAAAGAGTAGAAATTGCAACTTTGTCGTGACTGATGGTCTCTTGACGGCTCAACTCGTTGCTCGTTGAAAATGCTCAGTGAAAGGAAGGCCCATCTGCGAAAATGCAATTATGCAACTAAAGAAACGAGAGCAGGGGCTTGAGACGGTACAGTGACCTGACGATGCATGATGAACGGAGAGTCCAGAAACGGAAGCGGGGCATCGTTCTAGCCTATGTACCACGGACCGGGGGTTGCAGCCCACAAGGCGACAAGACGACATGCGAAACGGTGAGATGACGGAATTGGGGTGACTGACGGCAAAATGCTGCTTTGCTGGGCCGTCCTGGTGCGGGGCAGGCAACTGGTTCCAATATGGAAGGAGCGCTCGTTTTGTCTCCATTTGCAGTAGGTAAGGTAGGTTGAATCGAGGAGGTGCAAAGTGTCCATCGCAGTCATCTTGCTACTCGGGGAGAAAAATAAGAAAGAGGACAACTCTTGCAGTCTCGAGGCAACAACACAGGAAGCAGCTACCAGAGTTTTTTCCTTGTTTCTTCTTCTGAATAGACGTCCAATTTGTCGTCGAGGTATTCAATAGGTAGTGCAACGTAAAATACCTGTTGAATACCCTTGGATCACGTACCGTACTTTAGTGAGCATAGGCGGCCGGGAGTTACTTTGTGCTGCAGGGTAGCTGCGGCGATAGGTCACCATGGTAGGAGCTACCCCACCACCAGGAGTCGCCCACAGCACGACCTGGTGGTTCACCTCCACTGTCCCGTCGCTGCCCATCGAGTGGCTCCCCCCGCCATATGCAAGTAAACCTAGCCACCTTTGGTATTTAGTCGACGTTGCCATTGCAAAGTGATCGCGGTTTTAGCACCTCTCGACGCCTTTCCTTTTCCCTCCCTCATGCTCCGGAGTAGTCTTCGTCCTGCCTCCAGTCTCGCATGCCGATCTGGTCCTGTCTATTCAACGAACCTGTCTTCATCAATCCTGCAATCCATCGGGTTTCGTATTTCGTCACCCACTAACCTCGGCCGCCGAGCAGTACACCAAATACCAGCTCTCGACATGGAGCGAATTGACACAACTGGTCGCCTCTCCAGGCTCAGGGAGTTGATGAAGGAGCGCAAAGTCGACGTCTACGGTACGAACGAACCATCATATTCCATACCAGGTGCGAGGGTGCGGCAGAAATACTGATTCTTGACTCCTTTATACATAGTCATCCCATCTGAAGACTCCCACGCCTCCGAGTACATTGCTGGCTGCGATGCCCGCCGCGAATTCATCTCCGGCTTCAGTGGCTCTGCTGGATGCGCTGTTGTCACTCTGGACAAGGCAGCCCTGGCCACTGACGGGAGGTACTTCAATCAGGCCTCCAAACAGCTCGACCAGAACTGGTTACTCCTGAAGCAGGGCCTACAAGACGTTCCCACTTGGCAGGAGTGGTCTGCAGAGCAATCCGCTGGTGGGAGGGTTGTTGGCGTCGACCCCGAGCTTATCACGGGCTCAATTGCAAAGAAGCTTGCCGAAAAGATTAAGCGATCCGGCGGTTCTGATCTGGTACCCCTGGACGAGAACTTGGTAGACCTTGTGTGGGCTGAAGATCGCCCGGCTCGTCCCAAGAACCCCGTCAGGGTATTGCCTGAGAAATTCAGCGGCAAGGATGTCAAGACCAAGCTCAAGGAGTTGAGACAAGAGTTGGACAAAAAGAGTTCGCGGGCTTTTGTTGTGTCCATGCTGGACGAGATTGCCTGGCTTTTCAACCTTCGTGGCGATGATATCCCCTACAACCCCGTCTTTTTTTCATATGCTATCATCACGTCTGACTCAGCAACCTTATACGTGGACGATTCTAAGTTGGGAGAACAAACCCGGGCCTATCTTGCAAGCAATGACATTGCTGTGAAGCCCTACGAGACCATCTTCGACTCTATTGGCGCTCTACGTTCTGACCAATCCACCGAAGTGGCTCCTGGGGCCCCTTCCAAGAGATTCATGATTCCAACCAAGGCTTCGTGGGCTCTGAAGCGTTCCCTTGGCGGGGATGGTCAGGTTGACGAGGTTCGCAGTCCTATCGGAGACTCCAAGGCTGTCAAGAACAAGAACGAAATGGCTGGTATGAGGGCTTGCCACATTCGAGACGGAGCTGCCTTGATCGAATACTTTGCCTGGCTTGAAGATCAATTGGTCGCCAAGAAGGTGAAGTTGGACGAAGTCGAAGCGGCCGACAAGTTGGAGCAGCTTCGGTCGAAGCAGAAGGACTACGTCGGGCTATCATTCGACACCATTTCCTCGACTGGTGCAAAGTAAGTAGATTTTCCGTGACCCGACTGTCCAACCCCCTCAACTCCTCCAGCCTCCAGATCCTTCATATCCGAGCAATAATTGCTAACCTTTCTCAAGTGCTGCTGTAATTCATTACAAGCCTGAGCGCGGCGCATGCTCGGTCATTGACCCCACCGCCATCTACTTGTGCGATTCTGGAGCTCAGTATCTCGATGGAACCACCGACACCACAAGAACGCTTCACTTTGGACAGCCGACTGAGGCCGAAAAGCTTGCTTACACTCTAGTCCTCAAGGGCAATATTTCACTGGATACTGCCATCTTCCCAAAGGGCACGACAGGCTTTGCAATTGACTGCTTGGCTCGCCAGCACTTATGGGTGAGTGGCGATGCTCAATCTTGATTCCCCCCAGGAAGGTGGCTAACATAAATTGCACTGCAGAAAGAAGGTCTGGACTACCGTCATGGAACAGGTCACGGTGTTGGATCTTACCTCAATGTACACGAAGGCCCTATTGGCATCGGTACCCGCGTCCAATTCGCCGAGGTCGCTCTGGCGCCAGGTAACGTTGTGTCAATCGAGCCGGGCTTCTACGAGGATGGATCATACGGCATACGAATCGAGAATGTAGCCATGGTGACTGAAGTCAAGACGAAGCATTCTTTTGGCGACAAGCCCTACTTAGGGTTCGAGCACGTCACTATGGTCCCCTACTGCCAAAACCTAATCGAGCCCAGCCTCTTGACGGCCGAAGAAAAAGCGTGGCTCAACACGCACAATGCCGACATTTTCCAGAAGACCAAAGACTACTTCCAGAATGATCCTCTGACTCTGACATGGCTGACGCGGGAGACGCAGCCTTTGTAGTAGGACAAGCTTAGAAGCGGACGAAGGCGGCAAGAGTGAAGGTGGCGGCAAAAGATAGTCGAAATACAGCATTGTGGAATGGCTTCGTCAGAACGGCCTTATTCAATCGTTCCTTAAATCCCAAAAGACGCGGCAGGTCCAAGCCATATCGATGTGCAAGCTGCGAAGTCGATGTTAGCACGTGATGTGATAGGCAGTACAAAAATAGAAAATAAAACAGCAGGCTTTAGACAGAGGTCGTGAGTACATAAAAGGTAAACATGGCCAAGCCGGTGAGCAGGACCAGAGTGTGTGACAAAAAGCCAACTAAAAGCCCAACGCCGAACCCTGTAGCCCCGTTAGCAGAGTGAACCACCTTGTCTGTATTGTGGGATGGTTGGTATACCAGACAAGCTACCGCTCGAGAGCTGCCTCATTGCATCGGGGCTCAACCCCCCAAAGGCGCGGCTCTGGACACGAGGAGCTGGTGACGCAGATGATGTGAGATGGGAGTTGAAATAATTGGGTGTTTGTCGGCAATGCAGCGAGTAGGCGACACAGATGCCAGTTCCGACGGGCCAAGCTAAGCGCCGGCCGGCAAATCTGGCAGAGAGGAGACCGCTCATTGTGCCCAGGAGTTGATTGATATAATTATTACGGGATACCCGAGTGGGTAAGTTGACCCCGGAGCTCTGGAACCGCTGAAGCTGTTGGGTTCGGATTCAGGATTGTAGCATTTCTGTGTACAGGCAGGAAATACGACGTGTGCGCATAGAAGATGGATTGATTCGAGGATGACCCACGTATGAGTGTTGCGTTATGTTTTATGTGGTATCGGGTTGATATGTGTGTGTGAGTGTGTTTGTTGTTTGAGGAACGTCGTCATCGGAACGTACCTGGTCTTGAGGTTGAATGGGTAGTGTACCCAGGTACATAACTGAGGCAAGCTAAGGTGCGGGTACAACCAGGTGCCTAGCGTTCTACTGACGTAAGGGACACATCCACTTACAGTTGGAGGCCACTTGAGAGCTACCTAGACTGCAGACACAGCAACCAAAGTGCGTGTAGGTGGGTGAGTATTCAATCAATGGCTCTCATGAATTTCTCAATGTATCCTTAAGTAGCCCTTCCAATTTACAAAAGTTATCAGTCAACTCATGGTGCTTTGAAGCTCGATTGCCGCCCTGAAGCAGAACGTTGCCCATCGATGGTAGATTATGCTATAGGGTAACTTCCCTCTTTGCGATAAGGCAAGGTGCAGAGGCAGACCCCGTCATCGTTTCCAGCCATCTGGAATGCCTCCCTTTTCATCTTACGCAGTACTTGTGTACCTGACCGTGTCCTAGGCGCCTCTTCCAACTGAGTTTGAGCAGAAAAAGCAAAAACATAATGCCACCAACACCTCGGACTCCTAACCATACCACCACCCCAAATGACCTGGGTATTCATACAAAATGATATAAAAAGAAGTGCTTATGGCAACCACACGACCTGTCTCGTCGCCTCGTTGTAGCATGTGTAATGACCTCAACCCAGCCCGCCCCAGACACCCCGAATGCGTCTTGCGAGCTGAATATCTTTTTGCATTATGGTCACTCTCTTGGCGTGGATGGCGCAGAGATTGGTGTCTTCGAAGAGGTGGACCAAGAAAGCCTCGGCAGCTTCTTGTAGTGCCTGTATCGCTTGTGATTGCCATCGCATTGCTTCGCCCCGGGGTCTCACCGACTCGGCAATCTCGCGGACCTTTGAGCAAGTCAGCATGGTCGGTCCCTCGACCGATACGAATGGATATTCCGTGTGACTTACAAGGCGAGAGAAGGGAAGCTGGCGCAGCAGAAGCTGAGTCCCGCTTTGGTACTTTCGGATCTCCCTGAGAGCGACTGTGCCAGGCTTATAGCGTCGCTTGCCTCGGTTGGGAATAGGATCACCAGCTGTCAAGTGGTCAGAGCCTTGCCTTGACGGTCAGGAGTCTCGGGCATCAGGAGTCTCACGTTGTACGTCGCTCTGGCGCGATTTCCGACGCGAAGCGTCTGACTGTCTCTTCTTTGGGGGCATGATGCCAAGTAGGGTCTCTCGGCGTCGTGGCGTATAGTCGTGAGTGCAAAGAAGCTTGCGGTGACTTCAGAGGAGCAGAAATGCGACGATGCTATGCTGAACGATGCGACAAGCACCAACTGAGGTGAAAGTAAAGCGGGCGAGAAAGAGGCCTCGGCGAAAACAGAAATGACGACGGCGGTAAAGACAGAAAATAAGATGTCAATCGAGTTTTGTAATTACGGTAATCTCTGGAGGGAGTTGAAGAACTGGTTTGCGACGGAATTGGTGAGGTGAAAGCGAAGTATCAAGCTACGCGCACGCGTGCGAAGGGGGTGTCGGAGTTGAATTAATTAACTGACTGGATTTGCCAGCCCCGCGGGTTTTCTGGTTTGCGACCGGGGAGGGTAAGACGCGTTTTCGCGCGTACCTTACGCGTGCTGCAGGCAACTTAGTCGACTGTGTTAAGTAGTGGGTGACGTTTACCGCACTATGAGGCTGGCGAGGTGTGGCTGGAACCAGTACGACTCTATCCGCAGAATTACAATCGCCCCACAGGTCCTCTTGCCGTGCACAGTCATTGGTCATCAGATGTCTCTACCAAAAGCCACGGTACCTTATCGATTAGTGGTGAGGGAAGGTGTCCCGTGTCAGCAACCGTCAACTACCTACAGATGCCACCCACCTGTGTATCGGCGACGCAACAGTTCATCCCCGTACGCTAGACTTGACCAAAGGCCACCTCTCACCATACCTACCTCTTGCTGCCTCCTCTGACAACTCATTTCCCACTGGCCTGTTGCCTTCTCTCCTTTGATATTCCCAATCAAGAACTGCGCCGTCAACCCATTTATCCATCTCCATCGACACGCAATCCGACCTCCATCTGTTAGCTTCGTCATCTGCCGGTTGTCGTTCGAGCTACCCTGTCCAGAAGCCGACATCACGGACGTCCTCCCTCGTTCCCATATTTCGCAACACCCATCATTGCGCAGCCACACCTCTTCTGTAGACGGCAGATCCAGACTAGCCCTACGTGCCGCAATCGCTGGGCAATGAGTGCAACTGCCTCACCTTCTGCTTTCATTCCCTGAGCCACCACTCGAACAGCCTGCCGCACAGTATGGATCAGATGATGGGTGATGGGGGCCGGTTTCCCCTCGAGACATGGTTCTGGGAAATGCCCATATGCACCCGATGGTGGACGACAGCCACCGTCCTCACCAGCGCACTCGTTCAGTGCCAAATGGTCACTCCCTTCCAGCTGTTCTACAGCTTCCGCGCTGTCTTTGCAAAGTCACAGGTTCGTCCTTTTGTCTTCCTTTATGCTCCTGGTACCTTCGCTGCCCCTCTTCTGCTATACGAGGACCATTTCATCCCCCCCCTCCCTCCTCGGAAATGCGAGATCAAGACTAACCATTCCTGATGGTGCACTGTAGTACTGGCGTCTTCTCACTACCTTTCTCTACTTCGGCCCCTTCTCGCTCGATCTTCTGTTCCACGTTTATTTCCTGCAACGCTACGCTCGCCTTCTCGAAGAATCCTCCGGCCGTTCACCCGCCCACTTCTCGTGGCTGCTTGTCTACTCTATGACGAGCCTTCTGCTTCTCTCACCGATGGTCTCGATGCCATTCCTTGGCCACCCCCTGTCATCCACCCTTGTCTACATCTGGTCGCGGCGCAATCCCGATACAAGACTGAGCTTTCTAGGCCTGCTGGTCTTCACTGCTCCTTACCTCCCGTGGGTTCTCATGGCTTTCAGCCTCATTTTGCATGGCTCTATACCCAAGGATGAGATTATGGGTGTCGTCATCGGACACATATGGTATTTCTTCTCTGATGTGTACCCCCCTTGCACAATGGCTCGCGTCCGTTTGATCCCCCAAGCTGGTGGAGACGGCTTTTTGAGCGGCGACCGACAGAGGAAACGGCGGATGGTATCAATAACGAGATTGTCGTCGCTGGTGGCCCAGAGCTCGCTGCCGACGTCCGATGAGAGAGACTTGCCCCCGAGCTTTTTTGGGGGGTATTTGTACGGACGGAAAACAATGGGAATATCAACATTGGCATGGTTTCGGCGTTTAGGTCATCATTGTCGCGACTCTGCGACTCTTCCATTTGCATCAACATTCATCGTCATCGACGAAGCGCCTTGGCCCAGATGTGCCTTGAGAACGGAGGTAGAGCTGGTAGGGCCATGCCGCACCAAACAGTTCCGATAGAACATTGTCTCTAGGTTTTAATCTACAACATGCGCGCTCGTCTGACTTTGATGAAATCTATGCGTAGCTTACATTTTGCCCCTCTCCTTTGAAGTTGGCTAAGAGGGCTGTCTGGGCTGTTGCAACCCTTGTGTATCCAACAGGATATTGTCATGCTGGGCGGCTCGTATTATACTATGGTAATCTGACTACCAAGATCTTCGGTTGTGGAAGCGAAGGGCCCGACTTGGCCGGGACTAACAGGTGTCAAGGGCCATCGGTCCGGAGCCGGTACGGTCAAGAATGGCCCCACGTGCTGACGAGGTAGCCGCTGAAGATTGGACGACGTGCAACACTGGTATATAGGTATTTGTTCGGCGCACATTCTGATGACCCCACATGTAGAGCCAATTGCGTCATTTCAAAAGCTGTCCAGAGGTAGCCCGTCGGTTGCATTGTCGACATCTCGCAACCGCGCATTCGACGAAAAAGCAACTGAGTCTTACCGTTTGTTTGGCGAGTTCTAACCCTTGAAACATTCGACTTGTTGGTAGTTCCATTCTTTCCTCGGGTTGCGCTGCAGAAACTGACACACTGCGCTTTTCTAGACATATACCCCTCAACCATTCGCGACACGACGCCAACCATCCAATATGAGGGCGTATTGGTACGACAACCTCGATGTAAGTTACAAGAGGAAAGTTCGAAGAGCCACGGATCGGAAGGGGTTTCCAACGCCTGACTGTACGTCTTTTGCTGACCACCCGTGATACAATAGGGCGACCAACGCCTGGCGCACGACTCAGGCAAGGAGGTTACCATCGACGACTTGAAGAAGCTAGGAGTCTTCTACCACAAAATCCCCGACCTTGATGGTGTTAATCAACTTGCGTCCGAACGTGGATACAGGAACAGGGACGAGATCATCGTCTCACCGGAGAAGATGGGTGACGTTTACGAGGAGAAAGTTAAGTCGTTCTTCCACGAGCACCTACACGAGGACGAGGAGATTCGCTTTGTTCGCGATGGCCATGGCTACTTCGACGTAAGGAGCGTTGATGACGCATGGGTTCGCATCCTCGTTGAAAAGGCAGGTTTTGGCGCATCGGAGTATGGCACAGGCGGGCTAACTATGGATAGGATGACTTGATTATCCTGCCCGCTGGTATTTATCACCGATTCACTACCGACGAATCCAACGTGAGCGGCACCAGAGAATGCACATTTGTTAGAGACGCTTCGCTGACTGCAGACAGTACATTAAAGCGATGAGGCTCTTCAAGGACGAGCCTAAGTGGACTCCCCTAAACAGGACCACAAACTTGGACGTGAACCCCCACAGAAAGGAATACGTTCAGCAGTATCTCCAAAGCTGAATCTCTGCATGAGTACGGTCACGCAAGAGAGACCTAGCTGCAGCAGATGGAACCTTGTGGACGAAATTAACGAAACTGCCTAATAACAAATTCTACATTTCCAGTTTGATGCTCATCTTGCTGTCCATTTTCCACTCGTTCAAGAGGTACCTCACGTGGTAGAGATATCTTTGAATAATATCCTTGCAAACAATACGGCGTAGGAAAAGTAGGAGAAGAAGGGTGTTGCTCGTATGCCCTAGCAACCAAATCCCAGCATACAGTCAGGAATGAAAGCACTGTGAGTCGGTCACGGTGCTTGACTGAGTATATTTTCTCAGCCAAGCGACTGTTTTTACACGCGCTTTTGATTCGATTTTGCAGCAAGCCCCATCAGTCTTAAGGAAAATGCATTTTGCTGGGACTGCTGGCACACACTGGCACTCTCTCGGTGTTTGATTTTGCGACGCATCGCCAATACCGTGGCTGGGTCTTGGGCCCCTTGTGTGCATAATAATAGAAACGCGAGGCTGTACTTAGCACGACATACTCAACTGCTCTTTGGATATACTGATATGCTTTTACCCGAATGCTGAGTCCTAGCTGGGGTACGGTGTAACCCCCGATTTATCATAGGCGTACAGCGCACTAGCGGCAAATACGGAAGAGCACACGCTGGGGGTTCATTGGCACAGATCATTCGAAACTCACAACGTTATGGCCAGTGTCGTCAAAGCCGGTCGATGTTACCAGTACCATAACCGCCATAATATACCGCCGCGCGGTATCAATCTGTTCCAGGTCACCATTTTGCCATTTTAACTCGCTAGCTTCGCGCCTGTCCCACCTGCAACATGAAAGACCAAATGCAGTCTCCCTTGGCGACATAACTACCACCAACTCCTTGTCGATTTCCTTCGGAGGTGACGGTCCCTATTCGCCTTACCATCGCAGTCGTGCCTCACGCCACTCAAACGACCAGCAAATAACCAAGTTTCCATACAGTTCTCAGCTGCTTCCACAGACTCTGGTAGAACCATCCGTCTACTGGCAGAGGGTCTTGCGGAAGCTGGATCATAACACTAAATGAGGGCGGTTTAGCGGACACTATACGGCCAATCAAGCATTATCATCCAGATCCATGGACGTATCTAGTGAACACAGCGCAGCCCAGTCTGTAGCGGAAGGGGTTGCCAAAGCAAAGCTGCAGCTCCCAGCTAGTTGCGACCCGCCCCTAGTCGATGGCGAGAGGAAGCAGTTGGTGTGGGTGGTAAGTGATGGAGATGGAATCCCTACATCTACTACAAGCCGCACGCGTTGACCTTTGCTTGCAGGTGTTCGGTGGGACGGGCCATATGGGCAGGTCTCTTGTGAAGTCCGCCGTATCCAAGGGAGATCTTGTCACAACCGTAGGACGAGTTTTCGAAACGAGCCCCGAAGATATGGCCGTGCATCAAGACAAGGACAATTGCCTTGGGTTATTATGTGATGTACGCTCGAGAAGCTCGGTGGCGCGCGTGATTCACCGGACACTGGAGCGATTTTTACGCGTCGACGTCGTCGCCAACTGTTCTGGATACGGCGTCATAGGTGCGTGTGAGGACCAGGACGAGCACGAGATTCGGAATCAGTTTGAGACGAATTTCATGGGTACTCTAAATATCATCCAGGCCACTTTGCCCTACTTCCGCCAGCAGAACGGCGGCCGCTACCTTATCTTTAGCTCGACTTCTGGGGCACTGGGAGTTCCCGGCCTCGGTCCATATTGTGCCACCAAATACGCCGTCGAAGGGCTCATAGAGGCCATGCTCTACGAGACGGACTCATTCAACGTCAAGGCGACCCTCGTGGAGCCGGGCTTCGTTCGCAGGGATGAGCCCGACACCCTGGCCACCCCACTGCCTACCTGGGGCCATTTTCTTATCAAACCGGCGAGCGAGGCCTACGCACAAGCAACATCACCAGCATTGCATGCCAAAAGGATGGTTCAGTGGCTCGGTGACCGGCAGCCGACGAGTGCTGTCAAGTGTGCTGAGCTTGTCTGGCAGCTGGCCCACTGTTCGTACCCTCCGCTGCGGTTACTCCTGGGGAGCTATGCCATTGAGAGTATCCGCGACAGGTTGCGGTCCGTCACGGAAGAGTTGGAGGACTGGAAGCATCTGAATTTCCCTGTTGCGCCTGAAGCGGGCGGAGAGAACGAAGGAAAGGATGACAAGCCAGATCAAGACGAGAGCATGGCCGACTCGGGGCAAGATGCGCCTAGTCAAGGGCCGTGAGAGTTGTAGACTGCAGTATCAATCAATGAGATGTTGTACATGATCTACGATACGATCCGTTGCGCTGTATGCGGAACCAATGTGACTCGATTGTTATGGTTAAATGTATTACCAAGGAATTATGTATACGTAAGTGAGCACTATATGCGACTAACGGGCAATTTTCTAAGACGTCCCGCTGCCGCTCCCATGCTGCAGGGCAGATGTAATCAGCTTTACTATGTACCATGTACTGCAGGACCTTGCAGGTGCGAAAGGTCTTCTGGTCCCCTTGCATCCCTCCCTTGGCTGGACCGCGGTACCATGGCACCGTGTACGTGCTAAAATTTTCTCCACCTGGCCTGTAAAATACCTGCTACTAAGGCAATTTGGCATGAAATTCCATCACCCTTGATAGGTGCACGCGTGTTCCCCTGCGTTCCCTTTCCGCCCGTTCAGCGCTCGCGAACATACGTATCTCTGTTCTGTGCCCCCTTTACCTCAATTTCTCTTCATTTCCACTTCGGTTCTCCAAACACCAACAGACCTTGCTCCCTCTGTTGCCATCACGCGTGCAAAAAGGAGACGGCCCGTCAAGGACATCAACGGAATCGATCTATCCATTGTCCCTCTTCGAAGCGAGGCCGACTGACGCCCTCAACCGAGTCTGGCGCATTTGCATCCTCGTATCCGAACAAGCTCGAGTCCAAGCCAACGTCGCTAAAGTCAGCCTGCTTCACTCGCCAAGGTCCGACTCCATCCAGACGGCAACTGCGTCCCAGTCACCAATATCATGTCGGACAAAAAGAACGAGGATTACGAGCTTCGCAGCTCAGAGTCGTTCGGTGAGAAAGATGGCTTCCTGTCTCGACCTCCCCCAAGACCGAGGCCTGCGCTTGCTTCGCCAATCAACAAGATCGACAACAGCCCCGGCATCGCCATTCTCGCCTACTGCTTCTCTTCCATCAGTATGACGGTCGTCAACAAGTACGTCGTCTCGGGTCAGTTCTGGAATCTGAACTTCTTATACCTCGCCGTCCAGGTGCGTCCTCGCTCCATCTACACCCAGTCCGAAACCCTCTACTAATGCTCGAGTGTTCGCAGTCCATCGTTTGTATCCTTACCATCATCGTTTGCAAGAACCTTGGAATGATTACGAACCTGGCGCCCTTCGACACCGACAAGGCAAAGAAATGTCAGTCACAAACTTCGTGCAACCTCTAGCATCGCCCAAGGCTTACATCTACTCACAGGGTTCCCCATCGCATTGCTCCTCGTTGGCATGATTTATACCGGCACAAAGGCCCTACAGTTCCTCTCCGTGCCAGTCTACACCATTTTCAAGAACCTTACCATCATTGTCATCGCCTATGGCGAAGTCCTGTGGTTCGGCGGCAGCGTTAGCCCCCTTGCCCTACTCTCTTTCGGCTTGATGGTTCTCAGTTCGGTTGTGGCTGCATGGGCCGACGTGGCGCATGCGCTAGGTGGTGGCTCACAAACGGCCGAGGCTTCGGCCGCCGTTTCTACTTTGAACGCTGGGTATGCTTGGATGGGCATGAACGTATGCTGCACGGCGGCGTATGTGCTGGGTATGCGCAAGGTTATCAAGAAGATGAACTTCAAGGACTGGGACAGTGAGTTGTCATGGACTTTCCATCGTTGCGCCGTGGCTTGAAATGCTTTACTGACACGAGTGTTGCAGCTATGTTCTACAACAACCTGTTGACCATTCCCGTTCTCATTGTCTGCACCCTTCTGACGGAGGACTGGTCGTCAGCCAACGTCCAAAAGAACTTCCCGGTTGAGACTCGTAACAGCCTCTTCATCGGCATGGTATACTCAGGCCTGTGCGCCATCTTCATCTCGTACTGCTCGGCATGGTGCATCCGCGTCACGTCGTCGACGACATACTCGGTGGTCGGTGCGCTCAACAAGCTTCCTATCGCCATAAGCGGTCTTGTTTTCTTCGACGCGCCAGTCACGTTTGGCAGTGTATCGGCTATTGTCATCGGATTCGTCAGCGGTATCGTGTATGCGTGGGCAAGGATTCGACAGACGGAGGCTTCCAAGATGTCTTTGCCGACAACACAGCCCATGAGCGCGAGCGCCCAGAGCAACAGGGATGCCAACAAATAGGGAATCGAGCCCCTTCAATCTCCGAAGGGATTGAGAGAAGAGGCTAAGCGTGGACCGTCTAATGTGAGAAGGTCGCAGCGGCACGATGATGAGGGCCATTTCCCAAGTGGCCCTAGAGAAATGGCGCAAGGGCCGATTGTACACTGCGAAGCAACTTGCATGGCTGAATATCGCATGGCCAGCCCTTTTCTACTTCACGACAAGAAATAGACCAGTGTGTTGTACAATACTGCGATCCCAAGCTTGGGCATGCACAGGGAGAGGCTCAAGATGGCATGACATGAAATGGGGCGTTGAAATATTGCACAGGTTTCGTTTGCTCATGATACGATACGGCACGATGGTATTTGGTCGACCATGTTAGCATTGTTTTAATGTCACAACTTTGATACATATACCACAGTGGTTGTGATGCAGATTTGCTGAGGAGTGAGTAGGGGACGAATGTTGAATTGAGATACAGCTGGTTGACACGGAAATGTCTAACACGATTCGATTCAACAAAGAGGTAACGGTGGGTTTGGTTGAGATGGGTTAAGGTACCCCTTTAAAGAACACCCAACACTTAGTCCCGGACGCTAGAAGTACCAAAGATAAGATAAGGAAGCCACGGCCACCAGCTGTCCGAAACTGGGTATTTTATGCGTTTCGTCATTTTCGTCATTTTCGTGATTGTGCTGTGGTACACGACATGTTTGCTTGGTTGGGGTAAACTACTTGATGTTGACGTCCTCGGCGACGAAGACCCGATCTGGATCTCTGCGAATCGGATTTTCATGGCCCAACGAAGGCATGACCCGAAGGGTAAGATACTTTGCGGCCCAGGTTCTGTGCAAAATGCCCGTGTCGTAGTACATCGGTTGCCAATGGGTGGCAATTTGGTGACGGTTTATTTCCGAACAGATGGAATTACCTTTTTGTTCAAGGAAAGCAACAACGGTACCTTTTCTCAACTTGGATAGAAAGTGCCTCCAACATGCGGCAACCTCTGGAAAGTCAGGCTGGCACCTTAAATAGGCATGGGAATGTAGCACGGCAGTCGAGGCAGGCACAAACAGGTCACACACGCAGCTGGAGGGAGGACTGATCACTTTTGGTGGGGGCCCACCGCTCGGAGCCCACCACACGGTTGAAATCCTGTCCCGTCCCATCGCCATCCCGTTCCACGTGCTTTTCCTATACCATCACCTGCCAACTATCCTCTGCTTGGGACGACCCGCTGTTGCCTCTGCCGCGCCTTACCTTGCCTTGGCTTCTCTACATAAGCTCTCCCGCCTGTGGTCATCCGAAGTCGAGTCGAGCCACATGATCCCGTCGTAAAGCTGGTCAATCTCTCGAACAAGACAAGGACAAATCCACCACCATCACTATTCCACTTCCCACGGCGCAACCTCGATTCTCCGAGCCTTCACTTCTCGGCCGTTTCGCTCGCTCTTTACTACCTTCCAAGAGCTATGGCTTGAGCGAACCAGACTCCTTTTATCTGTTGCAGACCGGCCTCGCTTTTAACTTTTTCAAGCAGCTCTGTTGTAGTGGCAGTGTCAGTGGCATTAATCAACATGTTGCCCTTCATCAATAAGCGTATGTGATGCTGCCCTTTGAGCGGAACACTTGCTCGGATTCTTCTTCTTTGCTTCATTGCTTGTTGTGCACCATGCTAAATCTTTCTTGACTCCATAGCTTTCGAGCTCCTCGCCCAGCGTCTCGGCGCATCTCCAGACGAACGTTAGTCTTTCCTTTTCGAGTTTCGAACACAGAACAAGAGCCGAAACCGAGCTCTACGAGCGACAACCTCGACAGAGCATCATTGCTGACGCCGTTGTCTCCACAGTCAAGCTCGTCTTTTCGTTCCTGATATCGTACCCTCTGGCTGGCCTACTCAAACGAGTACCTGATGCCAGACCCGACCAGAAGAACCTCTTCATAATATGGTATGCTGCTCCGCCTCTTTGGCAACCTGCTATGCTGCTGGCTCCTTAGAGCTGACATTTTACGTCTTGCCTTTAGCACCTCTACGTTCTATCTAGTCGGTCTTTTCGACCTGTGGGACGGTGTGCGCACCCTTGCCATCGACTCTGTTGGCGTTTACTGCATCGCCAAGTACCTGCGCACTAGTCCCTTTATGCCATGGGCCGGCTTCGGTTTTCTCATGGGCCACATGTCCATAAGTCACATTGCCCGTCAAGCTGCCAACAGCCCATCCTCCGTCGACATTACAGGCGCCCAAATGGTTCTCCTCATGAAGCTAAGCGCGTTCTGCTGGAACGTGGCCGATGGTCATCTCCCAGAGGACCAACTATCTGACTACCAAAAGGAGAGGAGGCTGGTTGGCCTTCCAGGTATCCTGGACTATGCCGGTTACGTTCTCTTCTTTCCCTCTCTCTTTGCCGGGCCTGCTTTTGACTACATCGACTATCGCAAGTGGATAGACACGACGATGTTCGACCTCCCTGCCCAGGTTGACCCCTCTAAAGCGCCTCCCGTGAGGAAGAAGAGAAAAATCCCTCGCAGTGGCACGCCCGCCATCCTGAAAGCTGCTAGTGGCTTGGGTTGGATCGGTCTTTTCATGGTTCTTTCCAACTACTATTCAACCGCCTATCTGACGAGTCCCTCCTACATGGACCACGGCTTCCTACACAGGGTATGGATTCTTCACATGTCTGGTTTTACGGCCCGGTTGAAGTATTACGGTGTTTGGTCCTTGACAGAGGGTGCTTGCATTCTGGCTGGCTTGGGCTACAACGGTGTGGATCCCGTCACCGGCAAGGTATCGTGGAATAGGCTGCAAAACATCAATCCTTGGGGCGTTGAGACGGCTCAAAATACCCGCGCGTATCTCGGCAACTGGAACATGAACACCAATAATTGGCTGAGGAACTACATCTATCTCAGGGTCACGCCAAGAGGAAAGAAGCCCGGTTTCCGTGCAAGCCTCGCTACTTTCGGCACCAGCGCTTTGTGGCACGGCTTCTACCCTGGCTACTACTTGAGCTTCATCCTCGCTAGCTTCACCCAGACAGTGGCCAAGAGTAAGTACAACATTTTGCGCGGCGCTAGGCCAATCCAATTGGATTGCGTGATGGGCTAACAATATAACAGATTACCGCCGCTACTTCCGTGCCTTCTTTATCGATCCCACCAGTGGTGCACCCACCTCCAGCAAGATCTACTACGACATTCTCTCCTGGTTCGTGACTCAGGTGGGTATGTCGTTTGTCGTCGCTCCCTTCAACATTCTTGAATTTTCCGGCTCGGTTCAGGTGTGGGCCCGCGTCTATTTCTATACTATTGTGGGCACCGCGCTGTCCATAGCCTTCTTTGCCTCGCCCGCCAAGCAAATGCTGAGGAAGCAACTCGAGCAACGGCAAGGCAAGGCTGGGGCCAAGCTTACGCGCACTCTGAGTCAGGACAGTCTCTCGGGCCGAGAGCCCGTTTTGGGAGTATCGGCGGATCCTCAGCGAGAGATTGACGAAGCCATGGAAGAAATTAAGGCCGAGGTGGAGGCCCGGCAGAAGAAGAAGGCTGCTTAGAGTGAACGTTAATGGATTATTGAAGTCGACGTTGCCCGAGCCAATAAGCCCGGCTCACGTATAAGCATCGGCTGCTCCAGTTTAGGACAGCAGGCAGTGCGGGCCGAGTGTATAGTTACAATTAAGCAAGCGTTGCTGCAACTTATTCTTACGCGAGATGATGTTGGCGGTGTTGGAAGTGGCCCTCGAGGGGCTCGTCATTAGACATTGCAGGCTATTTGGATCTAAAACTAAACCATTAGAATATGTCTATGTACCACAAAAGTGAGATGCGTCGTTGGGGTTCCATCGATTCGAACTCCACGTAACGCCGATCCCAGCAAGTTGACTCCCGTGCAAGATCAAGGGGGGTATCGTCAAGAAAGTCCCAGTCGCCCAGCGGAAATATAGAAGAAAGAAAAACCCAAAACTCTGCCCCGTCATCGTCGAGTGTGAGCCTGCTTTGGCCTGATGTACAAATACAATAGTGCTGAGTGGAGGCAAGTACTGATAGCAAGCACCCCCTCACACTCGTATCAGGATTTCAATGAAAAGCAAAGGATGATGTCAGATGTTCCGTCAAGTCGCGATGCTGCTATGGTAAGAAGAATCGCGGTGTCGATGAACGAGAAAAGGTCGTATGTGCATGCGTCTATGTAGATGATGAAGAGAATTGCAGTCGTGTAATCGTTAGGGCCGTCGCCGGGCAGTCATAACCCGCTCGTAACTCCGATGCGCTGAAATGCCAGTAAAGATGTCGTTTCTCGAAACTTTTCAGAGCTGCCAGAGAGTCGGTCATGTTGCTATGACATTTGGCCCCAGCCCTGTTTGACGCCCACAACGACGAGTGCAGCGACAGCGCCGACGACCAAGAGACCAATGACAGACATGTACCGATTAAGTGCACGCCACCACCGGGCGCTTTGGAATAGCGTCTCGTCGATTGCTACGACCCTTCGAGGAAGATCATGCTCTTCGCCCAGAAGGCTCGATCGGTGGTCGCGCTCTGCCATCTCGGCTTGCGGGTCAGGGGGAAGCGGCAGAAAGGCAGCGATCATCCATGCTGTCTCATGTTAGTTCGCGTCCGCATAGATCCGAGAAATGGGGCCCACTTACCGAATGGCAGGATGAACCCGATGGCAAACAACGCGACTTGCATATTCCGCTTGCCCAGAATGCTGCTCTCTGCAGACCATGTCATCGAGGGCGGCTCCCAGATGCTATAACGGCCAGCTCGCTGATCGCGCCGCAAGTGGGGCGACCAGATGCTTGAAGTTTTCTTCCGTAATCCGTTGCGCAGTTGGTTATGCTGCAGCGGCGCTTGGCTAATCTCCATGGACCCTACGTCCGACAGTGGTCGGGGGTTCGCAGGATCGACTTCTCGTGGCCGTCGTCGTTGGCTATAGATATTCATAGGGAGATGCTCGGCGCTGGGCGTATGGCTTTGGAACGAGCTTGGCGGTCGGCTATCGTTGAAATCCGACATCATTGAATCTCCAGAGCTGGCGAGAAATCGGCGTTCGCCACTTCCATAATAGAACCTATGATTGAGCAGGCACGTCAGCACGGGTTACGGACACTAGTGATTTTTCCTCAGCAGGGAACGGCGGTGGCTTACCTGGCCCAGCTCGGAATCGACGCCGAGTTGAGGCTGTTAGCGCGCGAACTGCTCGACGAGTGAAGATTTCGATCCGAAGATGAACTTGAGAAGAAGCTGGACAGGCGGGTCCGCGAAGGGCGTTGGTGAAGCTGGTTCAATTCTGTCAACCCATCGCCGTGCTCGTCCTGGTCGCTGACCATTCGAAGGGTGTTTCCACGACTGTGTGTCGCTTGAGGACGTTCGAGAGAGTCGGTGAACGACCGCGAGTGTGACAGTGAGCGCTCTTCGTTGGCAGCCAGAGATGAAGAGATACTGAGCATCTGCCGACTATGACTGCTTAGGGGTATACTGCCCCGTCTCCCAGGTGCAGACCAAGGAGACACGGAACGGGACGGAGGCTCGCTGCCCCCTTCACTCTCCGAGATAACAGTGGACAGTTGTGAGCTCCATTGATGCGGATGGGGGTTCATGTGGAATGTGGCAGGGATAGCGGGAACGGCGGGGACAGCGGGGACAGCAGGAGCAGTAGCCGTCGGCACAGCTTCTGTCTCTGGCTGGCGTCCAGGCTGGCTGGCCAGTACACGTGATCGATAGAATGCCGCAGGAGACGTGAGAAAGCTTTGAGCGGCTTCGAGAGTAAGGGCACCAGAAATTGACTTGACCGAAGCTGCGCGTCGCAATGAATCTCTTGATCTTGACTTGTAATCACCAAATCTTTCGTTGGATCCCTTCTTCTTCTTGTTGGGCTTCAAAGGTGCCACCAAGAGACTTTCTTGCGAATATTCTGGTCGAAGTCGCAAGCGACGGCTAGAGGCTAGAGACGATGGCGCCGGAGACGATGCGCCGTGCAAGACGTAATTATGTTCGCTGTCGGCGGTCTTTGGCGGGCTTCTCTCGGCAGACGATGGTTCGGGGGGGAGGATCGGCCAAGCACTACGTAATTGGAATGGCTCGACGAGGGCGGCTGTAAGGACTCCTCTCTTTCAGGCGAAGGAGGTGAGCTGGAACCATACACCTTGTAATTTGTCGTCTCGGAAGTCGTCGACGGTGCATGAATCACGCTCTCGGTATCGGTCGCAGGGGGTGAATTAGAAGCGTATATTTTGTAGTTCGTCTTCTCTGAGGACGTGGACTCGGTGACGGATGACTGGAAAGAGGTCTTGGTCTGCAAGTCGTGGGTGTCCACGGATGGAGACAGATCAGCGGTAGGCGCCTCGGGCAGCGGCGCGAGTCGAGAGCCAGATGAGGACGACGGATAGGACGCGGCCGGTTCAGGTTCAGGCTCAGGGTAGATGAGTGTCGACTTTTGCTTTTGTTTGAGATCGGGGGTATTAGGAACCTTGCGAAGGCCGCCAACCATTCGATAATTCCAAGGTGACGAGGAGCCGGCTGTGCTGGTAATATGATCACCAGCTAATTGCGTGGTTGAGGATGCCGGGGTTAGAGTGGATGAGAAGCTTCGGTCCGGAAGGGAAGTCACTGTCGAGCTGGGACGATTTTCACTGAAGGCGTCGGAAAGGCGCTCATGCGAAGTCGTGGTAGACAACGACAAAGTGGGGGCTCTGGAGGACGAGCCATGGTCTTCTTGGTTTCCGGCCCGCTGCCCCTGAGGCAGGAGGGAGAATGTCTTACCATCAGCGTTCAGGGCGATGAGATTGCGGCGGCGGGACAAGGGGCGCTTCGCTGAGGGTGTGACAGGCTCGTCGTCCTCGCTGCGCTGGGAGGACCGGGATCGCGCATTAACGCGGGAAATATCAGTCTGACGAGGTGGAGTGGTAGGGACAGGGGTGGTAGGGGACGACTGGTCGCCGGGCAAGGAGTCGGATCGCAGTTTCGAGCCTGAAACACCACGGTCCTTGGCTGCAACCAATGGGAAGGTAGACGAAGCTGACGATAATACCGACGTCCGGTGGCTGGAGGAATAAGACCGTCGATGAGAATAACGATCGCTAGCACGGCTGGCGGAGCGGTCGTCAGTCCATGACGAACTAGTGCGGTCGTGTCCTGATGGGTTGGGGGAGAGTAGAGCAGTTGTGGATGTAGGGGTACGTGACGATGAAGCTGACGCGGTGGAATCGCGGTTTTTGTCGCTTGGACGAGGTGGGCTGTAAGGGACAATACGGATCGCAAGGGAGTTGGACTGCGACTTGGAATGCTCGTGTAGCGGCCTTCTTTGGGACCGGGAGGGGCTTCCCCGGGAGGGGCTCCCGGACCCGGACCCGGACATGCTCAGCCGCGCACGTGGGGGCCTTGGTCGAGATGGACCGGCCGCTGAATCTCGGATAAGGCGAACGGGCGAGTGGAGGCGGGTTGTCTTGTTCGGCGTAGGTGCTCCGGGCCATGAAGTGCCGGCGGTGCCCGGGGTAGACGGGGGCGAGGAATACCGGGCGAATAGACGGGGGCCGAGCGCGAGGAAGAGCTGCTCAGCGTGGCTGACTCGCCGGGACCTGCACGGCTACGGCGATGGAGGGTACCGATGGCACCTGGCCGGTCTGTGCTTCAGTTGTCTGGGCTCAGGCACAATGAAGAGCAGGCGCCGTGTCGCTAGAGCGATGGAGCTTTCTTAGAGCTTTGGAACTTCCTTAGAGCAAAAATGTTTGTACGCAAGGCGAGGTAAAACAAAAGTGGAATAACGTGCTGGAGCGAAGGATGATTGCAAGCTTGGGGCAAGATGCAAGATAGATGGCCGAGTTCGTGGCCGAGTCGGATCTATTCTGGTCGAGTCGGAAGCGTCGATAAGTCGTTGAAGGCGTCAAGATCCAAGATGCTCAGTCTCGTCGCCCAAGACGGTTCGATTGATCGGAATGCGGGTGTTGAAGAAGCATGGGTGGAACTCTTTTCTTCATTAAGGCGTGGGCAAGAGAGGAACTGTGCCGTGTCTGTCTCTTGGGGTTGGTTTTCTTCTCCTATTTTCTTTCTTTTCTTGGTGGTTGGAGAATTCGCGTGCTTGTGTGGAGCGGTAGCAGCCAAATTGTGAGAGCCAGCAGAGTGAGTGACTGAGGTAAGTCGTGCCGTGCTGGAGACTAAAACGGTTTAGATATTGATAAAAAGCAAACGGGAATGAAATAAACAAGGGAATGCGAGGCTACGAGGGTGCCAAAAGAAGGTGGGAAGATTATTACAGGCGAAAGCGCCTTGACATGGGAAAAACAGACGATAGAAAGAAAATAGATGTCGTCGAAGACACGCCAAACTTGGGAGGGGCGGGAGGCAGAAGCCAAAGGGAAAAGAGAGGAAGGGGAAGAAAGGTAAGGGGGAATGGGAAGGAGACGAGAGAAAAGGGCCAGACGAGACCAAGAGCAAGAGCAGGCACTTTTCAGATTTGGTCGCTCCGTATCCGTGCCTTCCCACCCACCTACCCTCAAATCAAGGTACCTCGAGAGGTGGGCAGGGCGATGTGAGCCAGGCCCGCAATGGAAAGCACCAACGGGGGTGCGAGAGGAAGGATGAGTGGAAGCCGACCAGGGCAGGAAGCGAAAAGAGGCAGGGGACGAATTGTGGTGATGGTTCGCGCAGTAGTGTACAGACACGGAGATGGTCCAAGTTACATACCTTTTTTTTTCTCTCTCTTCCCCTGTCCAGAGACACCTTACTGTGCAGGCCAATGGTCTGCGAAAACAACTATGCCTAGGCGTCTATCCCTCGACTTCCCGAGATCTCGTCTTGCTCAGTGGTCAGTCTCGGTGGTCTTCTACTAGCAGTCGCAACCTAACCCGGTCTCGCCACCAGACAGAACGAGACGCCTGGTCTCATGCAGGTAGGCCTGACTCCTGGCAGCGCGACAAGACCAGTTGCTCGTCGAAATGGGAATGGCAGCTGTGCCAGGAGAAAAGGAAAAGGCGGTCGCGGATCTGCGTCGTATGGATAACGGGGTTACTTGCACAAGGGGAAGAGGCATGGATGGATCTGTACCTGATGGAGACCTCGCTGCACTAATACCACGCGCAGACACGGGTACTGCACACTGGACTGCACCAAGAAGTGGGAGTCTTCGCCGCTGCTCGCTCGACCTGACCGGGGCACTGTGACTGGCTGGACAGCCTCGACTCCCTATCTTTTGCTCTTCCTCCTGTCCAGTAGTTGGTTCGATGGCTATGGCGGTGGCCCACTGAGCAGGCAGGGGGCGCTCAATACCGTCGGGTTGCAGGCGCAAGGGCTCGCGAACTGCTACTGGGCCGGATTCCCAGGCAAGCACCGAACGATGAACAGCCAGGACTGGACGCAATGCGGGGGGGCGGTGCGGCGCGGTTTTCTCTGCTGCACCTGCAGCTGGACCTGGTCCGACTCTGCAGCAGCCGGGGTTTGTGTGGAAATGGGACGTCGACCGAACTGGCTAGCACTGGAAACGGCAGAGCGATATGACAGGTAGACCGGGGCTCGCAGAGATGGACGGCGAGGAAGAAGAAAAGGAGAACACCGGACCAGACGTGATGGGACGGTCAAGAGCCGTTGCGTCGTATCGGGGCGGCCCTGGGGTTTGTTGGACCGGTGCTACCGTCCCAGCGTGTAAGTAGTCTTGGGGGGGAGGGAGGAAGGGCGAAAGGGGAGAGGAAGGCAATGCAGGATGGCGATGACGACGGGGTCGAGGCCTTTTTGACAGACGGTTATTAATTAGAATGTAATAACCATATCGTTTTATTTTGGCTGTTGACGTGGTTCGTAGACGTGGAAAACAACAAAACAACCGGCAGTTCGCGTCCAAGTGTTCCCACCGCCGTGAGGGGTCTGATCTTAAGGGCCCAGCGGAGACCAAGGAGGGCCCCCAGGCCGCGGACGACGATGAGGTCTGGATGACCCAGCTTGAACGCTCGACGGTGCCACCAAAGAAGACGACTAGAAGGGACACGGGCTGGACTGAGGTGCGACATGGGAAGGAAGACTACCATCGCCCACGGACTGCACTGCACTAGCGGGCAGGCAAGGCAGGGAAAGGGAAGGTAGGGCAAGACAAGGAAGATAGAGCTACTACCGTATGTATCTTGTGCAGTGTGTCGAGTAGCGGCAATAACATGATGCGTAAGGTGACTAGGTAGCCTCCTAGCGGCAGATGTATCCGATCATGGAGCATCTTACTTGCGAACCCGGGAAAAGAAAAGGGACGCCGGGTCAGACTTGGCACTACAAAGAAAGAAAGGGAGCGAGAGAGTGAGAGATTGTGAGTGTTGGACAACTACAGAGACAGAGATGTTGAGCCAGAACCGGGCCCGAGGGACGTCTCGAAATGTCTCGAAATGTCTCGAAATGTCTCGTCGGCACGTTTAGCGCGCACCCGTCGCCTTCGACGCCAAGGTAGCGGGAGAGGCGAAATGGATTACTGCGTAGACAACAACAGCAAGGCTTGCAATAAACCCTATTCCCCCATGTGGTGACGATTCGTTGGCGGCGCTTTTCCGGCCGTAGTTCCCGTTGGTCGCGCTGTGTCCGTGAGTTGCCCAAGCTCCCGATTTTCATGCTTTGGTTGTGAAAGGAGCAGCCAAGCACAAAAGCACAGCGCTAAACACGACTTGTGGTTGTGCTTCTCCATCTCCATTTCCATTCCTCATCTTCATCTTTCCATCGCCCATGTCCCTGTCCTTGTTTACTCGCCCAGTATCTTGGGTCGGCCGCCGATGACCGATCCGAAAGCAATAACGAGCGAGTAGCGAAGCACAAATCAGCTACAGGCACAACTGTAATGAGACGGAAGCTCTGCGGATACCGTCATCCCGTGTCCACGTCGTGGCACCACCTCAGGGAACACAAGTGGTGGATCCCCAAAGGTGAAGCAGGGTCACCAGAAGCAAGGAACCCCGTCACATCGTAACCTATGATGGTGACTATGCCGAGGTGAGTTGATGAGGTAAGACATCAGTTTAATTCACGTCTTTTTTTCACAACCTTTGCCCCTCCCCACAAACTTCTTTGCTCGATAGCAACGCAACCAGTGTACGAGGCGCGTCCTGGTGATCTGACCTCTGCTGCTGCAGTGACGGCGGGTATCGTGGACGTGAGCAGAGGTCAGGCACTAACAGAGGACAATGCACGACTACGGATATAGTTTCAGAATGGTCTTCGCACGCGGTTGCTCCTCCAAGGCCATCGCGTCCCTGCGTACGCTTCTCCTGAACGCTGCAGCATGGTGCAGTAGTCGCCGCCGTGCGCCGCCCCTCTGTGCGCCCGATGCTGCACTCACTTCGGTTGACAGAGCACAGGCCCGAGGATCCCATCGTATGGCCGGCGTCAACGGACGCAGCATCGTGACCATCCTCATCGAAGCACTTCGAAGAATGTACGATGGTGTACAGGGTGCAACCCAGACGGGACGATGGGAGAGGCGCCCCCACATATCCAGCTCGCCAATTTTCGTTTGTTCTTCTATTTTTTTCTTCCGCCTTTACCCGCCCGGGCAAGTCAGGTAGACCAACAGGCGCTATTTCAATAATTATCGATTGGAAGTGACCTCGTCAAGCAGAATAGACCCAACACGTTGCAACAATTCGTCGGGCTCGTGTATGGGTAGCAGTTGCACGCCTTCTTCTTTTTCTTTTCTTTTCTTTTTTTTTTTTGGTTGGCACATGTCGTACACATCTGTGACAGCTGCAGTAAATTACACTCGTCACCCACATTGTCGAAGCTTACCCAGGTTTTGGGTTTGAACGAACAACTCATTGAGAACGGATACCTCCATTGGGTATGGTGTCTTAGTGGGTCGTTGCCGCTGTTCCCGTAAAACGTTTCCCAATTATCTCAGAGTCCCACCAAGTACCTAGTATATGATAAGATGCGGAGTCTTGTTGACAGCACGTCAAATTTGCACTGCAAATCTCCCTGAAGAACACATTCTCCCAAGTCCCCAATGCGTACCAAAAGCGGAAGTGTTGTAAACAAATCCTTTTTCATGTGCAGCAGCCCTCACTCAACTCGACCTCACACTGTCATGCAGCACAACAATGCGATAGACTCCCAAGCTGTATGCCTCTATGGAGATCACGTGTCTAATGTACCTACAAACGACACAAGAAGCCCCCAACGGCTGGCCCAGATGCGACGCCGTCGCATCTGTTGTCGGTGCTCGGTGGCCCGTTGCCGCCGCAATGATAACGCCCCAGACTCAAACCGCCGGCCAGCTTCGCGTTGGCCCCCTCGAGGGCAGCTCTGGGCCTTCGACAGGTCTGGTATCCGACCGCCATTGTTTGTCGGCTCGTTGCCGGGCGCCATTGGAGGCATGTCCGTGATGAGTTGTACCTTCACAGGGCGGGCAGAACCCCCCCCCCCCCCCCCAGTTTATCGTACAGTATATCCGTATTCCAAGGCGTGCAATCTGTCGAAGCGAAGGAAACAAAAACTGGCCCGGCTCGCATGGACGGAGAGAGGAGCCAGGGAAGCTTGTCTCCTGCGCGTCGCCCCAGGTACTTTGAGCTGAGAATTGAGCGGAGGCGTTATCCATACTTGCATACCCAAGCTGGATAACGGATAGAGTGATGTGTGCATCATGGCGTTCAACCTAGCAAGAGGGATTAATTTCAATGACAGCCTTCTTGCCTGCAAGAGAGAAGCAGGTTCAAGGGGGTGGCCGGCAGTGGACCGCGCATTGAAAAGGGCCCACGCTGTCAATAGAGGGCCTTGCTTTACGTAGACTTGGATTGGCTCTCGTGATTGGTGAAGAGGCCAAGGGAGCCTAGGCCAGGGGCTGATGCGATGGGGTTCTTCTGCCAGTTGTCCTTCTCTCCAGGCTTCCGGCCACCCATGGACCATGCAGTACATAGTGTAGTACGCGCCTTCAAATTTGAATCTCGCGGGCGGTTCGCGTTTGCACTGCTCAAGATGGCGTCCTTGCGTGCAGACTTGGCGCTGCCGAGTTGCGTCCGCGGCAGCACTTCCAGCAAAAGATGGAAATTGGTTGATGGACACTGCAGTCTGCAGGTTCCTGACAACTCAGCATCCAATTTCCCGCTCCTGACGCGAAGGTGCAAAACAAAGGGGATGTCTCTTCTCGACGTTTTCCCCCGTTCTCAGGGCCATCACCGCAGGGAGGGGGAGGCAAGGGACAAGAAGGGTAATGGATCGGTAGCACTGACATGAGCCTCAACACCGTTGTCGTAGATATTCATGGACCAGTGCTTCGAACCCCGGCGAACTGGGGCCCCAGCCCTGCCGTCCCGGCATCTCCGCCACGCAGCGAGGCGCAAGCAGCAAGATTCCAGACTGCAGACGAGACAAGTGTGGGCGGCCTTAAGAGCAGCCCATATGAAGAGTTTGAGACATGGACGGTTCTGCTTTCAACTCAGTTGTGTCCGCGGGGCATTCCGCCTTCCACACGTGAGACCGGAGTATTTTTGGGATGGCTGTCATTGTGCCACCCTGTCCATCTTCAACGAAGCCCGGATGTCCGTGTCGGCCAGGGCTGAAGCGGTCGCTGCACCAGAGTCTGAGGACAGGCTCAACCCACGAACAACCACTGGATGAGGCCAGATCTACGCCTGAGCGGTTATGCACATGATGAACCGTAGATGGTTTTGGTCCACTGAGTAATAAATCAAGTCGAGCTGCATGCGTATCGAGAACATGGCCAAGGGCAGCAAGTATAGGCCATGCACGTTTGTGCGCTTGTTTGTTCTGTCAACCTGAGACGGGCGTCAATATGCTGCATGAACTGGCGCTTCGCGCGCGTTAGTCGGCACGAACCTGTTTGCATCTAGTGTACAGTGAATAAGGCGTGACGCTGATGTCTGTGGTCGCTACGCACATCCGGAACACAGGCAGATGCTGCCAGCTGCAGGAGAGAACACCTGATTATGTAAGTCGGTAACCCGAGCTCCAGCAAGACGGGCCAGTCCCACAAAGAATCGAATGTATGTGAGTGTGTGTGTTAAACTGCCCGCCATGCTTCACAGAATGCGGTTGGCTGACCAGTTGTTTTACTAGGAGTTTTAATTTTCTTTTCCGTTTTCTTTTTGATTTTCGATAGTCAAGGCAATCTTGACACTCCTGGAAAAGCTGCAGCATATGCGTCCAAGCTGTTGCTTAGTATTGAAGCCGTCACAGTTTGTGCCTTTCAACGAATCGCCAAGTCCACATCCGGCCATTCACGTCGCAAACCACGTTGCAGGCACCAGACGACCCAGATACCACTGACCTGGCCCTACCGCTCCCATGTCTTCCGCCAGCACGTTCGGCTTCGGGCCCGGCGCCGGCCCTTCCGACGCGCAACCGGCGTCACTGCAACCTCTCACGGCATGCGCAATGCTGGTATGTACCGATTCCTCCCGAGTCCATCCAGCCCTTCCCGGTCGACCCGTGACGTTGTCACTGACTAACTCATGAAATCCAAGGTCGTCTACACTGCCATCTACGTGCTGCCTCTGTACATCTCACCCGCCAGCCGGCCCTCACCAAGGCTTTCTCGAGATGACCCCGCCGTTATCCGCACCCGCATCACTTCCGTCCTGTTCTCCACCGCATTATGCTCTGCCTTGACCTATGTCATCCTGGCTCGCCTCCCAGACGGCGCTCTGCCTTTCGGCCCTCTTCATGCCATGGGATACTGGCCGCTGGGCATCCTCGAGTCTGCCGCATGTCTGGCTCTCACCGCAACGCTGTTCGCTGCTCCCCTTTACGAGATTCTCCTCATTGACGGCGTCTGGGAAGACTGGCGGGCATTTGACCCCATGGTGCGCATCTGGACCCAGTGGACGACCTGGCGAAACATTGTCATGGTATGTCGCATCTCCCTCGTGGCCCTCGGTCGGTCCTGTCTGAAAACTAACGTGGATCTCAAGGGGCCTCTGACCGAAGAGATGCTGTTCCGCTCCGCCTCGGTCCCGTTGCTCCTCTGCGCTCACATGTCGCTGACCCAGACCATCTTCTTGTCTCCCATCATCTTTGGTCTCGCCCATGTCCACCACTTCTACGAGTTCCGCATCACTCACCCCAAGGTGCCCCTAGTAGCTGCCATTGCCCGCTCTGTCATCCAATTCGGTTACACGTCTCTTTTCGGCGCTTACGCCACGTTCCTGTTCCTGCGGTCGGGGAGCTTGCTGGCCATCGTGTTGGTACACGCATTCTGCAACGCGATGGGTCTCCCTCGTTTCTGGGGAGCCGTCGAACCCTACTGGCACGCGCATGGACACTATACGCAAGCTGATAGTCGGAAGTGGACTTTTGTTTACTATGTACTTCTGTTTGCCGGTGCCTTCTCTTGGTGGAAAGGCCTGCTGCCCCTGACGGAGAGTTCGATGGCCCTGGTGCCGCGGCGCGGTTGAGAGGCGCTTCGTGTACATAGTTATGTTAGAGGCCACCCAAAGAGGCATGTCATGTCCTCATGTCAATATCTAACCCCGGAAGCGAGCCTGGTATCGCAAAGTCATCCTCACTCCGCATCCTCCGGCGACGGAGCGAATCATGCTCTCGACCTGTACGAGTCTCTGCTTCGGCCTCGACTTCTCTTCGAGCCTCTGCTCGGAGATCTTGGTTGATATCCTTCCCCTTCGCTCGGCCCACTGACGCATTGGTCTCGGCCAAACCGTCTTCCGGCCCTCTGGTGTTCTTCTTGCGTGGCCAAAGACTCGGCAATGCAATCTCCTGGAACCGAGGCTCCACGCACCGTTCGTCGAACCAACGGTGAAGACGTGCCTCAATCAACTGGGCGATCTTTGGGACATCCTGAAGCCTTGATCGGCTGCCAAGAAGACTCCTGATTGATAGGTCGAGGCGGTAATCGTCCATGAAACTGAAGGTCATCATGGTGGGGGTTGACTGTGAGGGGTTGCTGGGGATGAAGGATATGGATAGCGTGCCGCTGAACCTGACCACTGAGACGGAGAGGGCTACAGGTAGCACCGCGCTCAATTTCTTGGGGTAGTTTAGGAGAAGCTTGGTCTCGAGGGCGAGAGTCAGCATGTCGCTGAGGTCGACGTCCATTCTTGCCTGTAGCTTGGCCCCCTCCCTTGTTGCTGCGCTAGCGTCGAGCGTCCTGCCATTGCCAAGGCTCAATCCATCTTCGTCCACGGGGATGACGCGACAGTTGCTGAAAATGGGGAAGTCTTCTCCCAGGCTCAGTTCCGTCACGCGGATTTCGTCGACGAAATCGGGCCTTGAGCCTCCGTTGAGCGCCTTGGTTAGGGAGTTTAGGATCGCGTCGTCATGTTGTGCATCGCTCCGAAACTGAGCAATGGTCTGCGCTACTAGGACGTTGAACCAATCCAGACTTTCCGGCTGGTGGCTGTCGACGTTGTAGTATGTCTTGCTGAGGATGGAGCCAATGGTCAGGTTGGGAGGGTTGCGGAGGACGCTTGACTTTTTGCGGTTCAGCGTCTGCTGTCCTTGCTTTGCGTTTGCAGTCCGTAGGCTTAACAAGGAGCGCTTATGGGCCAATGTCCTGGACCGACGCTCCGTTGCTCTCAGGGAGGCCGTCACCTCGGGCGAGGGAGGGTCGCCGAAGATGAAGAATTTGATGAAGGCGGCAAGGACCAGAACAACCGACAGCTGACCCAGAATGAGACCTTGCGTAAACGAGAGACTATTTCGCGGCAGTTTAGCAGGTGAGTCTCGGTCGAAATGGGGAGCATTTAAATGGATGTATAACTTACGTTGGTTCTGCCTTTGCTGGGCAAGTGTCCGTAGACAAACTCGCCATGCTCTCCAATATTGAAAAAGAGCTGCTTGGTTGATGATGAGAATAACTATCAATGCTTCACCACAAAGTCATGGGGTAGACCAGCCTAGGTCCTGAGGTTGAGCTTGGTTAAAAAATACACCAGCCAACATGTCATCAACTTGGTGATGCTGAGGGAACTAACCAGGTAGAAATTCCGAAAAGAATGAGGCAAGGTGCCCGTTTGGTCGAATTGACACTGTAAAGAAGCTGGACCGTTACCCTTTGGTCAAGGTCCACCACCACCACCACCACAGCACAGTTTCTGTCCCTAAAATCACAGTGTGTACTTGTCTCACTTGTGTCTTTTCGCGTCTGTTCCCGAGGTTTAGACAACAGTGTTCATACACTGTGACAAACACTGTGTACGACAAATACCTGACGCAAGCTAAGGTACCCGGCGTGGGTAACCAGGCACGTCCAGGGAGCTCAGGCAAGCTGTCCCGGCTAGCTACGTATCGCATTCAACGACAGAAGAGGGATGTGCCAACGACTTGTGGATAACAACCACTGCAACCACATTCCATCTTATCCATCGACCCAGCTTGCTTCACGACCGACATATTCGAGGTACCTTGAACCTGCGCGCATTCACTTCGCGTTTCTAAAAGACGGTCGGCGGCACTCACCGACGGACCCAGACGTACAACAGAGCCTGGTCTTCTCCCTCGAGCCCACGGCATACCTCACCCAGCGTTCATTATTTGCGCTGTGCGCCCGTCGGCCAGGATGGATGTTGCACAAGCAGTAGCCGGCTATGTCTCTCGCATGATTTCTTCGGCCGACCCTTCGTCGGCATCTCAGTCGGCGAAAATGAAGGTCCTCCTGCTGGACCGGGAGACAGTGCCCATCGTGTCCACAGCCATCACTCAGTCAGCGTTGTTGAACAATGAGGTCTACCTAATCGATCGAATCGATAACGTCAACAGGGAGAAGATGCGCCATCTCCGATGTCTCTGCCTTGTTCGCCCGTCACCTGAATCGATACAGCTCCTCATTGATGAGTTGCGAGAGCCCAAGTATGGCGAGTACCACTTGTACTTTACCAACGTCGTCAAGAAGTCGTCGCTCGAGAGGCTCGCTGAGGCCGACGACCACGAAGTCGTCAAGCTTGTCCAGGAGCACTTTGCCGACTTTATCGTGATAAACCCCGATTTGTTCTCCCTCGGTCTCAGCCTTCCTCATCAGCGTCTCTGGGGAAGCAGCCCGGACACCTGGAACCCCGACGCCCTTCAGAGAAGTGCTGACGGGCTCATCGCTGTGCTTCTCGCTCTCAAAAAGAAGCCTTTGATCAGGTATGCCAGGAACAGTCCATTAACAAAGAAGCTGGCAACAGAGGTGCGATATCGCATCACGCAAGAGGAGCAGCTTTTCGACTTTAGAAAGGTGGATACGCCTCCTATTCTCCTCATTCTCGACCGGCGTGAAGACCCTGTAACCCCTCTGCTCACCCAATGGACATATCAAGCCATGGTGCACCACCTACTCGGCATCACCAACGGCCGAGTTGATCTGAGTGACGTGCCGGATATTCGCCCAGAGCTTAAGGAGATCGTCTTGTCCCAGGATCAGGACCCTTTCTTCAAGAAGAACATGTACCTCAACTTTGGCGACCTAGGCGGGAACATCAAGGACTACGTCGAGCAGTACCAATCAAAGACTCAAAACAGCGCAAACATCGAGTCTATTTCGGATATGAAGCGCTTTATCGAGGAGTATCCCGAGTTCCGTAAGCTCTCTGGGAATGTCAGCAAACACGTCACCCTGGTCTCGGAGCTGAGCAGGCGGGTTGGAGCGGAAAACTTGCTCGAGGTCAGCGAGCTTGAGCAAAGCCTTGCGTGTAACGACAACCACGCGGCTGATGTGAAGGTACGTGCCGCCAAACATCAGGGATCTCGAACCTGCGCACTATAGCTAATACGTCGCTCTCCTACAGAACATCCAAAAGCTCATCCAATCTCCTAAGGTGACAAGTGACAGCAAGGTTGCTCTCGTCGCTCTCTATGCGCTAAGATATGAGCGCAATCCCTCAAATGCACTTCCTATGCTTGTCGACCTTTTAGTGGCCGCTGGCGGCGTTTCAGTGCGGCGAGCGGATCTCATCTCGAAGCTGGTAACGTATCAATCTTCACTACAACAGTCTCAAGCCCAAACAGGTATCACGGACATTTTCGAGGGGGCCGGCATCTTTGGAGGGGCAGGCAACCGGTTCAAGGGACTCAAGGGCGTCGAGAATGTGTACACCCAGCACAGTCCTCTGCTTGAAAGCACTCTCCAAAACCTGATTCGCGGAAGGCTCAAAGAACAACAATATCCCTTCGTCGAGGGTGGTGGCACCACTCGAGACAAACCTCAAGACATCATCGTCTTCATGGTCGGTGGCGCTACGTATGAGGAGGCTAAAACGGTTGCAACAATCAACGCAAGCTCGCCTGGCGTGCGCTTAGTTCTTGGGGGTACAACGATCCATAACTCAGCAACGTTCCTCGAGGAGGTTGAGGACGCCGTATCGTCATGGCCCGAGACTCAAAAAACGGGGACACGGCGGTAGGGTGTTGGTCTTGTAATCTCACCGATGATTTGGAGGTTCGAGAGTTTGGGAGAGGAGGACGAGGAGAACAACTAAGTATTGTCGGTCATCTCAACGTGTTACGGCACAACCAAATACCTAATCCAGCGTTCTTTACAAACAGTTTCGACTAAGCTGAAAATCGCATGGGACGATCTCACATAGGAGGGCAGGAGAAGAAGAGGGAAAAGGGGACTCAAGGGTAGTCTAGAACCGAAGCAGGGCAAAGTCATTCGTCAGGTTAATGAAATCAAAACAAAAACATATAACACTAGGTAGTCGCTGGTCGAGTGACTGCCTGTTAACAGCTTAGTAAATGGCTGGCGCAGGGTGGCCACGTGCAAATATCGTCAGGCTTCAACAACCCCTCAGCTACCCTCTCAGTCGGCATGCTCAGCCGTGTGGACAACAGATGCAGTTGCAGCAGAGAGCTCGCCGCCAATATTTAGAGCTTTCAAGATGCGTGGTAGGGTCCATTACTACCACGGTGTCAGTGACGGAGTGGGGGCAAGCGACAAAGTATGGCCGCAAAGTTGCCAGTCTGCTGCCTTTGGCAGCGAACATAAGTATCAAGCCTTATATCTGTACTAAGGTCATATTTAACAATCTCCTCTCCCTTTCACCACCAACCATATTCCCTTTCTTTTACCATGAGGGACAGGTACAGCGTAACCAGATGCCATGGAATGGTACTTCGTGCCTCGACAAGAATAACAGCCTCACACTGGAGGTTTCTGCCCACAGAGCTTCGCCTCGTGATCTTGGAGGTGATTGCACAGCAGAAGCATCCTGGCTGGGCGTCTTTCGCATCTGTCTGCAAGGAATGGCAGCTCTTTATAGAGAAGCGAAACCTCAATTGTCTGAAGCTACAAGTGTCCTGCCTAGATGATTTCGAACGTATGACCATTCGGCAGAAAGAGCTTGTTCACCATATCTGGCTCGATATTGAGCTACAAAAATACTCATGCCGATGTTGCAAAAGGGAGGAGTCAGTTACCACGACACGAAATAACAGCTCCATCATTAGTAACGGAATCTGGAAACTCTTCCGTGTCCTCAGCACCTGGAAGCCAGCGAATGGCTTAACGTTGGAGCTCAACGCGCATTCTCCCAGCGACTCGGACCACTGGTTCAAGAACTACTATTTCTCTTCTGAAGAAGAGGGTAGCGAAGATACAACTTCAATAAAAGAGGCTGAATGCAGCTGGCACGATACACAGCACGGTTGGATAAATGGCCAACAGGTTACGACTCCTCCCAGCTCAGATATACTACGACTCTTCGGAGAGATCGATCTGCGTTTCCGAGAAGAACTTCCTCAAGTTGACGGAGTCAACCGTTTTATCATACGTCGACAACTGCGTCGTTGGCTTGTCCCTAGAGAACTTCAGCTTATACTGGACAGGCTTTGTTCTTTAGAACACCTGATCTACGAGCCATGGCGGGCATGGGAAAGCGGAAGGAGGGTGCTAAATGATCGGTGTGCGTATCGATATCACTCTTTCGAATCCCTACTTTACATACGACCACTAACATCTGGATCGCAGTCTTTCTACATTTGGTCCAGAAACACCTTCCCCAAAGTCTCAAAACGTTGTCAGTTTTCGAAGATTTTAACGATGATCTTGCTGTAGCACTGGGTAATGCTGTTCAGTTGACCTGGCTGAATCAAGTGGACGCCCACCGTATCGTAGATCCTGGGATTGGTGCGGCCTTTGCCGCCAGAAGTGTCGATCTTGAACAACTCTCTGTCTCCTATATGGTCAACGCCGAAGATTTCTTACGAGCTTGCATACCGACTTGGACTTGGCAGCGCCTGGAGTCTCCTACTCCAGACGGGAAGCCGGCTGAAAATTGATGCCTTGCTATACAATGCTGGTATTACTGCCCTGCACATGCCCAGACTACATACTCTAGTGCTCTGGAATGGCATCAAGGGGAATGCCTGTGCATTCATATACCATTCGGACAGAAATAGTTCCCATATCACCTGGCGCGGTACATGGGATATGGAACTTAGCCCTCGTGTGATGAAAGCGTGGCAATGTGTGGCACTTGAGACTCATTCTTGCACACTCTGGGTCGGCAAGCAGCAAGTTCATGGCGCCATAGGGTCCCATGGCGATGCCATCCATCATTTGGACTTGCCCTGTCGAGTGGTTGCTCCTGCATCCCTCTGGCAAATACGGAGAGAAGGGGCGTAGCGCACAAAACGAGCAGCTTTTCCTGTATTTCTAAAAGGGCGTCGAGTAGCCAACGCATCTCACCGAGGGAAATAGAGCAACCCTGAGGGTACCTGGAAATGGAAACAGTCCGTCTAGAACGTGTGTTACTCTACCACTCTCAGGAGTTTTCCAACGGGTGTGATTGTAAACCTCCTCCAGCATTCCGAAGGTTAGCGTAGTACTTGCGGGATACATTTCGAATGCTGAAGGAGGTTCAAGTGCTGTGAACCGGCATGAAAGATGCCCATCTAACGCCGCCACCAAATCAAGCAAAACAGAAATTTTAAACCGCAAAATAACATACAACACCAGGTATTCGCTGGTCGTCACCGACCCAACTACTAATCCGGCCCTCACTGGCTTATCTATGGGAGAGCGGACGGGATCCCGAGTTTTCCAGTGGGTATGGTCGTATGTGCTTGAAGAGCAGCATTTATTGCTATATATAGTAATTATGCCTGAGGTAGCCCTTACCCGATTGCGGCCTTTCAACATGGAAAACATGTGTTCCTTGAATGAGTTACAGTTGCATCTATTACCGGTCTGTAACCAAGCCGTTAAGTACAACCGGAATCTGGTTGTTGATCTGGTCAAGTGCTTTCCAAGTTTGGAGTAGGAAGGTACCACACATTTTGGCATTGGAGGCTGGGCTTGTCTTCAAGAGATGCAAATGAGGAAAAGGACAGGATGTGCACTCAATCAAGTCTACGGTCGGTGGTTGTAGTCGCCGTGCACCGACAATGTCACTGTGCTGCACTGTGACGCTAGGGAAAAAATCCCGACAGATTGGCGCACCAGCATTGGAACCCCTGGGAAGCGCATCTCGAACCATTTGTGACCCAGGAGATCGCCACAGCGCCAAAGTATGAATCAACCTCCCCAGACTTCATCCTGTAACTCAAGATAGACGCGTATCGATTCGAACGTGTTTTCCGGGTTCTCAGCGGAAACCAACGATGCGATCCCTTTCCGCGGCGCTGAAGCTGCGGCCGCGCAATGCCGCTCGAGGGCTGCGGCAGCTTCATCCATTGTGGACTCTCGGCAGGCGTGGATTCGCCGACGTCGCGGAGGGCACCAGGTTCGCAAACCAGCATCCGAGCTTCTCCAGCCATTCCTCTGACGTATAGCAAAGGCCATTCGATGTTGTCGTTGTCGGAGGCGGCCACGCCGGTGCAGAAGCATGCGCTGCCGCCGCCCGAGCCGGTGCGCGAACAGCTCTCGTCACCCCCAAGATCGAAAACCTGGGCACCTGCTCCTGCAACCCCTCCTTTGGAGGCGTCGGCAAGGGAATCATCCTCCGCGAGATTGACGCTCTTGACGGGTTGGCCGGCAGGGTCATCGACAAGGCCGGCGTGCAGTTCAGAGTCCTCAACAGGGCCAAGGGGCCCGCGGTATGGGTACGAAGAAGCATGCTCTCTGCCAAGATGACGATGACCGTGTTGCTAATGTCATTGTTGTCCGCAGGGTCCTCGAGCGCAAATCGACCGAAAACTCTACCAGAAACACATGAGGGAAGAGCTGGAAACGTATCCAAACCTCTCAATCGTCCTCGGAAGCGTGTCCGACATTGTCACGAGCGCAAACCCAGACACCGCGGGCTCTGCCCCGAGCAAGATCACGGGGGTGCGGCTCGAGTCCGGCGAGGTGCTTCCGACGAGCGCCGTCATCATCACGACCGGAACGTTCCTCAGCGCTGAGATCCACATTGGCATGAAAGCGTACCCTGCAGGGCGCATAGGAGAAGATGCGTCCTTTGGACTAAGCAAATCGCTGAAAGACGCCGGCTTCCGCCTGGGGAGACTGAAGACGGGAACGCCGCCACGCATCGCCAGGGACAGCATCGATTACACGCACCTCGAGAGGCAGCCCGGCGACGACCCCCCGATGCCCTTCAGCTTTCTGAATGACCGGGTCGCTGTTGAGGAGCAGATGTCGTGTTATGTCAGCTACACGAACGAGGCGACGCACGCGATTGTACGGGACAACCTGGACAAGACCATCCATATCCGAGAAACGATCAGGGGCCCGAGATACTGCCCGTCGCTAGAAGCCAAGATTGTCCGGTTCGCCGACAAGGACAGGCATATCGTCTGGCTGGAGCCTGAGGGGTTCGACAGCGAGCTCGTATACCCCAACGGATTGTCCATGACCGTACCGCCCGAGGCGCAGGAGCAGATTCTGCGCTCTATTCCCGGATTGGAAAACTGCGTCATGACACAGGTGGGTTACGGCGTCGAGTACGATTACATTGATCCTCGGAGCCTCAAGGCGACACTCGAGACGAAGAACATTGCTGGTCTATTTCTGGCGGGTCAAATCAACGGCACCACCGGCTACGAAGAGGCAGCTGGGCAGGGTATCATTGCCGGCATCAACGCCGGCCGATCCGCTCTGGGTCTTGCCCCGGCCGCAGTGTCCAGAGCGGACGGCTACATTGGCATCATGATTGACGATCTCATCACAAAGGGCGTCACGGAACCGTACAGGATGTTCACGACCAGAAGCGAGTACAGGCTGACGTCGCGGGCGGACAATGCAGACCTCAGGCTGACGGAACAGGGACGAGAGTGGGGCGTAGTGTCGGACAAGCGATGGACGGCCTTCAATGACGAGAAGCAGCAGATGAACCACCTCATGACATTGCTCTCGTCGACCAGCAAGAGCAGTCCCGAGTGGTCGAGGCAAGGGTTCCAGGTAAAGGAGGACACCACCCGACGTGACGCGACCGATATGCTCCGGCTGCGCAACGTGACCATGGACCAAGTCGCCGCCGCAGTGCCCGGTGTGGAGGCCTTTCCCGAGCGCATCAAGTCTCGCGTGCACATCGAGGCGACGTATGCGCCCTTTATCAAGCGCCAGCTTGCCGAGCGTAAGGTCTTTGCCCGGGACGAGAGCCTGCGGCTGCCGGCCTCGATTGACTATGACAAGGTCCCCGGGTTGGCCATGGCCGAAAAGGCCGTCTTGAAGGCGACCATGCCCGAGACTTTAGCCCAGGCGAGACGGTTAGAAGGCATCACTCCGTCCGGTTGTATACGCCTGCTAGGCTATGTTCAACGTCAACAGCGGAGCACGGCAATGGCAAACATGCCCAAGCCATGGCGGACGAAGAACGAGGGCCCCAAAGATGAGGGAACCTCTCCGCTTCCGTAGGTGCCTTGCGAAGAGGCGGAATGTAAAATAGTCATAAAAGCAATGGGCGGTCTGACGCTCGATAAAAACATTTTATGAGCCAAGTCTGCTGCACCCCGGTGATGCATACCTAACCTCTGGCCCCCTTTTGTAATCATAATGTACAAAGACTTATTTTTTTGTGCCCGCCCGCCCCCCGTAACACCCCTTGTGATGCGAATATGTTACAACATTTCGTTCCTGAGCTCAGTTGAGGATATGTTATGCAATGCAAAGGCCTCGGGGGATCGTTCCCCTGGTTCGTGACATGCGTGGTTCTCGACGCCCAAAGGCCACAAAGGCCGTACGTGGTGTGTAGCATTGCGAAGGCAGCTTCCATGTTCAGGGGAAGCAGCCAACGAAGACAGCCGCGAGACCGCTTAAACCTTGGTGGGCGGCTTCTTGGGCGGCGTCAAGATCTTGACCGCATCTTTGGTGTAGATGTAACTCGCACCGCTCCAGACGGTCGTGGTAGCCACGACGTACCTACCACCCAAGTCAGTATACTCATGGCATCTTCTCCTTGCCGTCCCCATCCACAGTCCAGCCGCAGTAAACGAACAAGGGGCGAAGGTGGGGGATACAACGTACTGCATGATGGTCAATGGCGTCGAGAGATCGTAGCTAAACACGGGGGCAGCGGTCGTCATGCCGATGAGGACGAGCTGCAGGAACGTGTTGTACTTGCTGATGGTCGTGGGCCGGACCTCGGCCGAGGGAGGGAAAAGTCCCAATACCGCGCAAAGGTCTTGGGAGGCGGCAGGGAGATCCAGCGGTAGTAAATGGCCGACATGGCGAGGCCTACATCGCGGCCGAGGATGATGGCCGCGAGCCACACTGCCGTACAGAGCTTCAAGTCAGCCAACTCGCATTCTCCTTCACCCGTTTCTAACGTGGAGCTTTGCCTCTTCCCGTCGCGCCCCTCCGCACGGGACGCCAACAGCAGACAGACCACACAAACTCACCCGGAAGCGACCCCTGCGCCGCCAGACACACCGTCAGGATGGTCATGAGCGTCTTATCCGCCATTGGATCGATGACGGTGCCGACGACCGTCTGCTGCTTCCATCGCCGTGCGATCCAGCCGTCCAACAGATCCGTCACGCCGGCGTATGCGAACAGGCCTAGCGCCCAGGCGTGCTGGTCGTGAAGGATGAAGTAGCCGACAAAGGGCGCGGCGACGAGACGTGAGAGCGTCAGTAGGTTCGGCAGGGTACGGATGTCTTCGTGGATGTTCTTCGGTAGCGCCGGGAGCTTCGCCGCGATCTTGCTAGCCGTGCTGCGTGGGAGAATGATTAGTCCAGTGGCTTCTCCGGGTGTTCTTGCCCATTGAGTGACAACAGCAGCGCCGCCATCCACAGGGTGGCAAGACATACCTAGGCGGCTTGCCATCGGGCTGGGACGCATAGAGGGCGACATATCCTGGGGTTGGGTACAGTGGGCGGCTGGTTGTGTTCGTGGAGGTAGGAATGGCGGCTCGCCTGAGCGATGGCCGGTGGTGCGCTGATGACGGCAGCGCATGGAGCAGACGATTATTGCAGCCGGGGAAACGACCACATTGCACCAATGCTCTTCGGCCACCAAACCTGAGAAGCAGCATCTTCGTGTCGTTCCCAGAGCCCGACTTGGACACTCGCACCAGCTTCGCTTCGAATCGTTGCGCCTAGGTTGACGCGAGCGTTCACCTCGCAATGCAGCTCATGGGGGCACGGTGGTGTGGCAAAGGGTCTCTCGGAGTTTGGCAAGCTTGGCCCAGTCATTGGCCCGAGTGTCACGTCACTCTGCGCGTCCTCTCATCTTTGTGAAAGCTCCGTTACTTGCATAGCTGTGTCTAATTCGCATGACCAGCAATCCGTATCTCTTTAAGATAGATAGGTACAAAACCAAGAAAAATGTGCAAACTGTCGGCCACCCAAGTCGACACACTAAGACTGCCGTACGCCCAAGGCACATAAAACACACAAGACATGAACAAATCATCATCGCGCGGCATACAGAACATGTATGGCTGCAAACTGTAATTGCTTTACAGGTAAACTTTTTGATGGCGCAACCGAGACCTTTCTCCATCTCCAAGATACTCTCTGGCGGCGCCGCGGGGGGACGCAGTCGCCTAACCTCACACGCCTCTTCAACCGCTGGTCTTCTTCCCAACAGTACAACCTCATCGCAAACCGCGCCCTCGGCGCCGCGCTGTTTTGGTTACACGCCTTGCTCGACGCTTGTTCTTCTTGCTCTTTCTCTGCAACTAAAGGATTCGTACCCCGCAACATTTCCACACTGTCGTTCAAGGGCGATCCTCTGTTGGACCCAAGCTATAGTCGCGTCCTATTCTTGCGCCCATTGGCGTTGGGCAGCTGCGGTCGCTGAAACATGTCTGCGCCTGGCATCGCTCTTGTTCAAGTTCTACCCAATGAGTTGCTGCTGCTGCCCGGCCAAGCCGCATTTCCCTGGGAGATGTATTGTCCTTGGTCTTCCTCTAGTTGTTCAAAGGAATTCCAAGTCTCGCGACTACTCAATCCGTCAAAGGATTGTATCGACCGGTCACCGCCCATGCCCGATTCCGAGTGAACGTTTCGAGGAGAGGGAGAGGGAAAAGGCTCATGTGGCGACAGATCGTGAACGCGTTGCTGCGAGTATAGCATCGAAGTCATGTAGTTTCCACCCATGCCCCGCGAAGGATCCGTTGGTACGGCTGGCAAGTTGCTGGCAAGACTCATGTCTGGCCCCGAAGTAGGTTCGTAAGCTGTCGAGTGCCGCCTAGGATGATGCTGCGACTCCAGGGCCATGGTTCGCGACATGTCGGGGGCCAACCCGGCACTGGAGGGATAACGACCGGCTCGGCTGATGTTGTCATAGCCGTAGCTTGGGTGCTGGGCTTGTGCGTAGCCCACGTTGCTCACGGATCCCGGGACACTGCTTAAATATGATGACATGTAGGGCGGTTGCCCAAATTGAGGCCCGCCCATGCCACCGCCCATGTGGTGCAGCGAAGGCACCGACATGGCCCGCGATAGGCTCTGGTGATGGTGGCCGTTGACTGGGTATGCGTGAGCGAAGAGGCCGTGGGCGCCACGAGAGTCGTCCATCTCGACCTCGTCGATAGGGGCCCGGAAGTTTTGGGACATGATCAGCTCCCCGCGGGGAATGATTGTCGAGAGCTGGTGGTCCTTTGAAGGAGTCATGAGTTTTCCTTCCGTGACATCTTCCACGTTGTAGTAGGACACCAGGTGATGCGGCACGCCTTGATACGTAACGCTGATTGTCTTCTTGACCAGGCCGTTTTCCTTGAAAGGATACGAGTCGACCAGAGACCCGATGAGCGCGCGTTCTGCTTCCTTGTTGCCCTGGGAGCCGTCTCCCATGCCCATGTTGGCGCCTGTCCCGTTGACGCTTCCTTGGCGTGCAACCTCGGGCTTTGTGACACCCGTGGGCTTCTTGTTGCGCTTCATGGCGCGCTTCTTCTCGCCAGGAGGGAATGGTCTGTCGAGCTCGCGATAAATGAGGAAGTTGCCCAAGATCCGACTGGGGCTCCAGGCAACGCCGTCAGTCCAGCGCTTGATGCCGGATGAGTGTTCCTCGTAGATGAAAACGTTGCCGCTCTTTATGAGATCTTGGCGTTCTCGGTCGTGAGGTCGTCGGGGGACGTGATGCAGGGCACTACTCAGGCATGCCTCGAATAGGACCAAAGCATCCAAAGTGGAGGCAACATGGCCAAAGAAGGTTGGGTTTAGCGGAACGTTGGAGTTTGCCATTTTGGCCTCCGGTTGCGTCGAGTCTAATCGTGTAAGTTACTTTCCCCAACGTTTGCGGAATCGACTGCAGAGTTGCGCCACGTACCAACTGGGTATGCTGTATAGGAGGAGGATATTTTTCAAAAGAGTACGGAGCTCAGATAAGGCCAATGTACTGCGTCGCCAGGTTGGCTGCAGGGAGCTTCCGTCAGCAAGGCTGTTGTCGTTGTTGCTTGTGAAGTTGTTGTCGCTATTGTTGTTGTTGTTGTTGCGCGTTATGTACGTGATGAGCTTCGCCACGGCGCAAAGGTCTTGACGAGTGAGAACGAGGGAGGAAGAGGATGAAAGAAGCGAGGAAGGGTGCTGGTCTTTCAACAGCGAGAAGGTAGACCAAGACGTGTCAAAGCTAAAGTTCAAAAGTGTCTCTCCGAAGGGGGAAGAGGGGGAAGAAATTGGGAAAAGGACCTGATGGGTAGGGTAAGTACGGTTCGTGGGTGGAGCTCTCTGGATTAGCAGCAGTCGGGCCTTGGTTCGGTCTGCGCTTGTTGTCGTATCCAGGTTGCGGTACCGCCTTCCCCCAAGCGCCTCTTTTTTTTCTCCTCGGTCCTTGGTGAACAACGGATCAACACCTGGTTCGTCGAAAGGTAGCTGTTGCCTGCCTGAGAACCACGGGGGAATCTGGCTAGGGGAGCTTGAGTGCGGGATGGCGCGGTAGCAAGATGCCTCGGATCGGAAAGAAGATAACTTTTTGGCGGTACCAGGGAAGGGGCGAAGCTTGAGGATGGGATATGTGCGGCCAGCAGAAGCAGCGCAAGATACCACGACAGCGGTCCGTAGGAGACAATGTAAGAGGCTTGTGGCTTGCGTGGGCCAGGAACCGGAGGTCGATGGGAAGATCCAGTGTTTTAAGGTTTGTCAAGCGCAGCACGGGCTGCAGGATAGGCGGTCTTGTTAACTGCGCGCTCTGGTTTCCCTCTCTGGTCCTGACGGGAGTACGAAACGCGGTGTGGCTGCTGGTGGTCGTGTGGGTTTGTACGTGTACGTAGCTGAACAAACAATGGTCGAACCTGTTGTGTGGAGGAGGGAAGACGGTAGGAGAAGATTGAGTGAGTGGTGGGAGAGACCAAGTGAGAGAAGGAGCGAGTACGACGAAGGTTGGTGGTCGAAAGGTTGATGTAGGCGGAGCGGGACCCTTAGAATTTAGAGGTTGTGGGAGGAGGGATGTAAACAGAGAGAGGGCCCTCGGAGGGTTTTGACTATTGAACCGAGCGGTTGGGCCTCGAACTCGCGTAGTTCCTACAAGCTTCGGGAGCTGGGGACAAAAGAGGTTGATGTACGAAGACTGGAAGCCACGGAGGACTTATAAGATATCGGTGCCCGACGGTAAAACTGGTAATTGCGCGCGAAGATCGGGACACTGGATGAAATGTGTACTTCACTGTGCAGCGCAGGTGCAGTGAGTGCAGTGCGACAAGGGGAGCTCACCCAGGGCAGCCGGGGAGGAGAGTACAAGACGAGGTCGAGCGAGAGGAAAGAACAGGCCTTGTCAAAAAGACAGGGCAGATCGGGCCCAAGGCTCAAGGCGGGTTGCCGACGTAGGGCCAGGCCAGGCAAGGTGCCGTGGTCGAGGGCAGCAGGAAGCTGTTTGAACCCGAGCAAGGGTAGCAGATGAAGCTCTGCCATGTACGTCAGAGAGCCAAGCAAGACAGGGCGGACGGGGCAGAGCGCAGAGCGGCGGCGGCGGCGGCGTTAGTAGCAAGAAGAGGAGACGACGAGGATGGGGAGATGGAGGAGGAGGGCTCTGCAGCGACAGGCATTCAACAGCGGTCGCAGCAATGTGGTAATGGAGACGAGTGCCTGTGCCTGGAGAAAGTAGAGCCGATGGAGGTGGAGGCAGGATGAGGCGGAGAAGACGGCGGCGGCGGCGGCGGCGGCGGCGATGGGACTGGGACTGGGACTGGGGACTTGGACGCAAAGACACACAACCCAGAGAGCAGACCGTCTTGTCGCCGGCAAGCAGGATACGGGGGGGGGGGGGGGTGAAAGCGGAATATGGAGATGGAGGAAGAGAGGAGTGGGATGTCTGGAGGGGGGTGTGAGGAAAGAGAACCGGGAGGGTGAGGGAGGGAGTGGGTAAGAAGACAAGAGAGAACGAGAGAAAGAAGAATGAGAGACGAGAGAGAATGTGCGTGTGCGCGTGTGTGTGTGGGTAGTCAGAAGGGGGGGGGGCAAGATGCTGGGGGAAACGCTCGGCGATCAGAGAGCGGGCGTGAGAGAAATGCCTCTCTGCAGGCTTACTGCAAGCAAGGTAGGTAGGGTATGTATGCTCGAGGGTGAGCGAGAGGAAAAGGAGGAGGAAATGGAAAGGAGAGAGAGCGCGCGCGAGCGAGCGAGCGAGCGAGACACACAAGCAGAGAGAAGAGTCGTAGAGCAAAGAAAGAGGTGCAAGTGCCCAATGGCAGTCCGTCCCAGTACCACTGCAAGCGCAAGTGCAGGTGTGCAAGGACTCGACTCGACTCGAATGGGACTGGACCAAAGTAGACTCACACCCACACATGCACACACACGCACACATATCGAGTACAAAGTACACACAGCATCCTGGGGATGGGCTCTGTCGTCGAGTGATGGAAGGAATTTGGGCTTGGCTTTAACCGACCGAACTGAGTGTGCCTACTGGCTGGCAGTCCAGCACCTGCACCCTGAAGGTACTGCTTTGTAAAGTCCTGCCCTGCCGTTTGTGCTCTGGATCCTCTGAGCAGCTGGGGCTTGGTATCCGTTCCAGTATGGACTGATGGTAATGGTCAATGGCGTACGGACTTGGCACAGGTCGTCCAGCCTTCTGTAATGCGGCATTACGTATGTACGAGAAAACGACCATCGAGTACCGAGTGTTGAGATGCTATGATTGATGCTGAAGTAAACGTCCCAGGCGGTACGGTTCGGCGCGACACTATCGCTAGGGCAGGGCAGGGTTGACGAGACAAATGCCATGTAATGTAGTCCAATGCTGGTGGGATGGAATAAAAGGATCGGTGTTGGTGGCAGTCGTGGTGGTGAAGGGCGAAAAAGAAGAAGGGTGGCTGTTAGTCCGGCAAGGTTAAGCTCAGGCGCCTCACGGTCTAGGAGGAAGAGCACAAGACTGGACAGGCCAAGGGGAAGGAGAGAGGAGGCTATGATTCGAATGGCAACCGATGGCCGGTGCTTGATGCTTGATTTTGGTTTTGCTTTGCCTGATCCGCGCGGTGATTTTCGTTTTCCCAGGATTAGGATACCGGCCGTTTGGAGGACAGTCGAGAGTAAATGTTGAGCTTGTCTTTGTGCCCCTGTTTTGCTCTGTCTTGTTTCTGCCTCGTCTAGTGCAGTGGGCTTTTTTACCTTTTGGGGGGTGGGGGCGTGATAATTTTTTGGTGATGAAGTTGAAGGTGGTGTCCCAATCCGGAAACAGATACTAATGCTCTCTACTGCTACTGCCGCTGCCGCTACGACTGCTCCAAAACAATGCAAGGCACGAACAAGGTGGAGGGGAGTCAGGGATCCCCAAAGATCCAGCGTCTTGGTGTGTGCTGTCTCATCCGGGAGTGGAGCCCAGATGAAATGAGGGGCCGGGCCCCAAGACGTCGATTCCCCAGTCTTTTCTTCAACAGAATCCCAAAGCCAAAGCTCGGGAGACGAGGATGACCGATGGAGGGCTCTGGAATCGCATCCACCACACCGGTCCAAGGCAGACCGACGTCGTGCGTGTAGTGTACATACACTCACTCACTCACACCTTCCTCCACGTATACATGCGCGCGTCTTAAAAGAGCAACTGAAGACCGACTGACCAGGAAGGAAGATGGTTAGTCAACGCGATAAAGTATCAAGGATGAGCAAGGTACTCGTCGTAAACAGAGAGGTTCCGCAAATATCAAGTCCAATAGAGGTAGGTGGACTTAAGGGTACCACAGGGCAGACCCAAGATCTAGCCAACCTTTGCGGCAGTGTCGTAAGGACACACTGGCTGCATTGTACAATGCGGTAAAGGGGGGGAGGGTTTCGTCGTAGCAATGGCGCCGCCGCTGTGCTACCTCCTTGCGGGTACCTGCCTCTCTGTCTGGCTCCGGCTTTGCCTGTTTCTTGCAGCGGGGAGCTGGCCGATGTCTAGGTGGACCTGGGCTACCTTTGCAATGCCATGAGGAGACGTGTGCTCGGCATCTCTGTTGTATTTGAAGGTTGTTTTCTCGACCCAACGTGCTTGCGAGGCCAAGCCGTGCTAAGCAACATGAGGTGAGGTGAACTGAGGCGAAGGGAGGTTAGAGGTACCCCACGTCTCGAGAGGTAGTAGCGCCAAGGTCGGGCTTAAGTTGGATCTCCCAAGGTCATGAGGTACGAGCGAGATGGCCATCAGAACGGGGCAGGTAAGGAGGGGTGGGAAAAGTGGAGGGATACATCAAGGCATGGTTACTGAGAGATAGAGATGGATGGAAGGATATGATGGGACGGATAGGATGGGATAGGATAGGCGTTAAACGGCCGAGTGGGACGGGGAGAACGGGGAGAACGGGAAGCATGGGAAGCATGGGGAGTGCTATGGAGGGGGGCGGCGATGGAGTGAGGGATGAGCACGGCCAAAGGTATCAGAAAGAGGGAAGAGGCGTGCGTACAGAGATGGGTACGGATGCGGCAGTGCGAGGGAGCCGACAGCGACGGCAACGACTTGGTGGATGCATGCGTGTCATGAGAAGAAACGCAATGTAGTTCCCGGGTGCTTTTGCCTGACGTTGCCGTTGCCATTGTTATTGCCATTCAAGACGAAGAGGTCAGAGAGAGGGAGAGAGAGATGGGCCCTGTGAGGAAACCAATGGATTGTTCGGCCTGAGGAGGAGATCAAGTACATCGTACCACAAAGGCCGAGTGGGAGAGGAAGAGGGAAGTAGAACATGAGGAAGGGGTTCCGCCTCCCGTCAAACGACCACTCCGGCCTACCTTGATAGATACGTACCGAAAATCGTTCCTATTCGTGACTGCCTCGCGCCTTG